CAAAAACCAAATCCATTACCAACTCCATCTCCAAGGGCCAAAACCAACTCCAACTCCAACTACACCATCAAAAAATACACAACCAACAATACCAAAACCAAAATCTGGAGCAAGAGCAAGAACAAGATTACCACCAACCCCATCATCAAAAAGAGTACCAAAATCAAAATCAACTCCATCCTCAAGACCAAGAAAAAGAACAACACCAAGACCAGGAACAAAAAAAAGACCAACCTCAACTCCAATAATTACATCACCAACACCAACACCACTACCAATTCCACAATCAACACCAAAACTAAAATCAAGATCAAGGGCAAGATCAAAACTAATTCCAACACTACAACCAAAACGAGTACCAAAATCATATCCAAGACCAACACCAAAATCAAAATCAAAATCAAAATCAAAATCAAAATCAAAATCAAAACCAAAATCAAAATCAAAACCAAAATCAAATACAACTCCAACACAAACTCCAAAACCACAACAACATCAACCAAAATCAGAGTTTATGTTCAATTCATCCACCCACCCACAATTCATTGATGTACCTTCAATTGAAGAGTATGATGAAGTACTTGGCCAATGGGTTACAATTTACACCTCCCAATCAACACCAAGTACACCAACCATCTCATCCGATTACCCAACTTTTTATGCACCAGAGTCCAAATACAATAGTACTGGTGCACCAACACAATCATTTGAGGGAATAATTGAAGGGCCATCAATTGAAGAGTTTGATGAAGAACTTGGTGAATGGGTCACCATATACACCGCACCTACAAACTCTGCTCCACAGCCACAATCAACACCACAACCAAGTACACCAACCACCTCATCCGATTACCCAAACTTTTATGCACCAGAGTCCAAATACAATAGTACTGGTGCACCAACACAAGCATATGAGGGAATGGTTGAAGGACCATCAATTGAGGAATTTGATGAAGAACTTGGTGAGTGGATCACCATTTACACCGCACCCCCAACATTCGCCCACACTACACCCATCGCCTCATCTAACTACCCAAAGTTCTATGCACCAGAATCAAAATTCGACTCTACTGGTGCATCATCATAATCCAATAGGGAAAGATTGAGAATGGGCCCCCACAACACAAATCAATGTAATTATTATCATATAAAAAAACAACTTGGTCTTTAATACAAATAACATCCATTTCAAACAGTGCTGGTAAACTCAAAATAAACTTAGGTAAAATATCTTATATATTTATATTATTTTAAATATTAAACCATTTATTAATATTTATTTTAAATATTTAGATTTCAATACAACAAATCACTCAACCATAACCCCATTGATGCCAAAAACCACACCTCACACCCCACCTTGTATTATATCTTTTTAGGTTTTTTATAAAGTAAGTTTATAATATATTTTATTTAATGTTTTTTTATTATTTAGTATTAATATAATTATTAGTTAGAAAATAAATAGTTCAATAGCAAATAAATTTTAATAGATGATATCAACTCTTTAAAAGGTCAGATAATTTAAAGATTAAAACAGTGTACCGAGACTGCACCAATCAAACCTACACCAACGAAGTTTTCTATTTACTATTTAATGGTTTTAATACATTGCTCTGGCCAAGCAACTATTATAATCATCGAACAGTTTTAGATAACCAAAAGAATTAGTAGTCACCATTCTGCACCTGCCACCGGATATCAACTGAAGAATCCTAGTAAAACCTTTCCTTCAAAATAATAGCAACTAGTGTTCATCCATATAATAAATAAAAATATAGTTTCAATTTTAGGTTTAAATATACTGTATATAATTTTTTATTCTTTTTTTAAAAAAAAAAGTAAAGTAACTCTTTAATAAAATAAGTTTTATTTTAAATTCTAAAATTAAAATTTTCACCATTAAAAAGATAAAATATAATTTTAAATTAAATTTTTTTTTTTTTTAATTTTTTTTAATTTTTTTTTTTTTTTTTTTCAATTTTTACATTTTATTTTTATTATCTTATTTATGGATAAATAACAGATAATAAATAATAAATAACTAAAATCAATATATTATGAACAATGATAATAATAATAAAGGATTATCAAATGATGATTTTAGATCGTTAATAGAAAAAAAGCCAATCAATAATAGCAATAATAATAGCAGTAGTAATAATAATAAAAAAAATAATAATAATAAAACAAAATGGTTGGATAGAGATTATGAATATTACCAAAATGCACCAGAAAAGAAAAATGATCCAAATTATTTAGATAGAGCAAGAGAGAGAAGAACTCAAAATACTGATGAAGGCCAAAATCAAATTAAAAAAGGTTTAGATTTTGAATTATTACAAAATACAAAAGAGAAATTAAATTTAGATAATAAACAAAACCAGCATCATCAAAAAGATCAAAAATATCAAAGCGAGATTGATAAAATTAAAAACTTGAAACATAAAACTCAACTAGGTTCATCAATGATAAAAACATTAGCAAATATTACAGCTGATAAATCCAATGATATTAAAAAGAAACAACAAATTAAAAACAATAAAGAAATATTTCAAACCAATAGAATGCTTTATTTATTTGATTTGGATCCAGTTTTTCCTCAATTAATACCAACAACTATTATGAATAGTAAAGAAGACTGTCCAAAAGTTAAAGAAACAATATCAGGCCGTTTAGATACAAATATTTTAAAAAGAATTATAGGTTTTTACCATCCAGAAAAAGAAATACAAATAGTTAAGCAGTCAATCAACGGAAATGGTGGCATCGGTGACGATAGTATATTTTCAGATTCAGATAAAGATGAAAAAGAAAAAGAAAATAGTAAAAAAGTTGTAGTTATTCAAAAGCAAGACGATTCAGATTCAGATTCAGATATTTTTTCAGATGCAGAAGATTATGTTTGTGAAGTAAATAAATCAACAACTACCACAACAACAGAAACACAAGCAAAATCACACCATTACTTTAAAAATAAAGAAGACTATTCAGATGAATTCAAACCAATTGGTAAAGAAGGTGATGAAAATGACCACAATGTAAATAATAAAAAAGAAGAAAAAGAAGGTGGCCAAGTTGTAATCGAAAGAAACCAAAAGGAAAATAATAATGAAGATGGGGATGATGATGAATATACATATCCAAATACAGACGACAATTATGCACAACACGAAAAAGATAAATCAAATTTAGAAAACAATGAACAGGATATCTATGATGTTCCAAGACCTCCACAACTATACGATGAAGAAGAGGAGGAAGATGAATACACTTATCCAAACACAGATGATAATTATAATAAACAATATGCAGACCAGGATGAAGAAGGAGTATATGACATACCAAGACCACCTCAAGAAGATGATGAAGAGGGTGAAACTATTATCGAAAGAAATCAACCAATGCAAAATGATGATGATGATGATGACGATCAAGAAGATGAATATGCTTATCCAAATACCGATGAAAACTATGAACAGCATGAAAAAGATTATATGCAAGAGCAAGAAAGAAGACTCAACGAATCATCATCATCAGATGAAGAGAATGATATAATATCACTGGATACCAATAATGAAAAACTAAAGAGAAAGCTTATGGACACCTATGGCGATGACGATATATATCCACAATTTGAAGGCTTCGAAAGAGAAAGAGGTGAAAAGATTAATATAGACGAAATGTATAAATTCAAAAAACCAAACTCCAACAAAGATAGTCAACGATCAGATGAACAAAAAAAGAAACAAAAACTAAATAAAGATATGAATAGGATCAACCAAATTATGAAAAAAAATTCAAAAGAATCTGGAACCAAACACTACGATTTATTTGAAGGATCAAAAAAAAATAAAAAATAAATAGATTATTACTGTATTGTAATCTATTAATAATAATCACAACAAAGAAAATAAATCAATGAAACACCAAATCAGAAATAAAAGATATTTTTTCTTATTTATTTTTATTTTTTTAATTTTTTTAATTTTTTTCTAATTAATTTTTTAATTTTATTTTTTATTTTTATTTTTTAATTTTATTTTTTCAAATAATTTAATAATTTATTATACACCCATTATTTATTTGTAAATATATCCATTTCCTTTAAAGTCATCATCATTTATAATTAGTAATAGTAAAGTAATAGTAATAATGTCGCTAATCATACAATCACCATCTTTTAATAAATCACCATCATACAAAAAAGATGATCAGGATGGAGAAGTATTAAATTTAAAATTCAAAAAATTTAAAAACTATATAAATAGTTTAAATACTGCATCAACAGATGAAATATTGAACAACTATGAATTAGATGTACCAGTAATATGCATATTATTCCACATCAAAATTGACAAAAAAGATAATGTAGAAGAGATCTTTTCAAAACTACGAACTTTTATAGACGAATGCAGAAAAAAAAGAAAGATGAACTCATTTCTTATGGTTTACTTTGACATAAAATCAAAATCACATTTAGAACTTTACCCTTTATTCATAGCAAGACTTTTTAAAGTAGCCTGTTCATTAGTAACCAATAATTTCAGTGATGTTATTCAAGCATTAAGCATTATCGATCAAACTTCAGTAGATAAATCTGGTGAATTAAGTTGTCCAATTTGTACCCATTCAGGTTTTGCAAAAAACTTATCAGTTGACGATTTAAGAGAACATATTTATTTGTTTCATTGTAATGAAAGTTTAGATTCAATAGAAAATGTAAGTAAAATACTATAAACAATAAATTTATTATTTATTTATTTATTTATATATTTAAATATATAATAGAAAATACCAATTTGTCCAATATGTTTCAAAAGACCCCAAGAAAAAATCGGTGTACATTTACATGAACATCATGGACCAAAAGGTGAAAAAACAGAACATGAATTAGCCCTTAGCAAAATATACCCATTTTGTTTAGTTATCGTTAGAAAGAAATCAAATGGAACATTTTTAATTGTTAATGAATCAGCAGGAAGAGGATACTGGTTACCAGGTGGCAGATTAAATACAAATGAATCCTTACAACAATGTGCAATTAGAGAATGTAAAGAAGAGACTGGAATTGATATCGAATTAAAAGGTATTTTAAGAGTAGAATATTCACCCTTTCAACAATACTCTAGAATGCGTGTAATATTTTATGCAGAACCCAAGGATGAAAATCAACCACCTCGTCAAGTACCAAACTATGAATCAATGGGTGGTTTGTGGGTTTCAACAAAAGATTTATCATCATTAGACTTACGTGGTAAAGAACCAACCATTTGGTTTAATTATGTTGAAAAAGGTAAAGATATTTATCCATTATCTTTATTAACTCTAGAAAATGCTATACCTAGATAAATAAAATAAAATAAAAGTAATACAACAAACTCTTTTTTTTTTTTTAAATAAATAAAAATATTTATTTTTATTTATTTATTTTTTGTTTTAAATAATAATAAAAAAAAACTTGTATTTATAATAACTCCATATTCTTAATATTTATAAAAAAAAAGTTAGGAATCGTTCTTTTATTAAATTTTATATTGTTAAATAATTACATTAAAAATATTATTTACATTCAAATCTATACTAATGATTTTTTCAATAATAGTTTTTTGTTCTTGATATAATTTGTTTAAATAATTTTGAATTGAATTGCATTCGTTTTGAACCTTTATTAATATTTGATTATATTCATTATCCACTGGGTTTTTTTTTGATAAAGGATGTTTTTGCATATGGTTTTCTAAATATCTAAATAAGTCTAATAATGTTTTATAAAAATCTATAAACTCTTCATTAATTTTTTGTAATATTAATTGATGTGAACGATGTTTAAGTTGGTCATAGTAAAGAAATTGTAACTTATTGAATAGAATTTGTTGTAATTGAAAATTTAAAAATAATTCATTTTCTTTATATAATGGTGATTTTTTATCTTTATTATCATCACTATAAGTATTATTATTAGCATTACCCCTTGTATTAAAATCTATGTTGCTGTTTTTATCCATTGTGTTTTTATTTTACCTTGTTTTTTTTTTGTTTTGTTTTTTTTAAAAAAAAAAAAATTAAATCACAATTTTGTTATTTTTTTTTGATTTTATTATTATTTTAATTTGAAATGTATGGTTAATAATGTATTATATTTATAATAATAAGTTAATTATTGTAATAACTTTTACTCTTTTATAAATCGGGAAAAACACACCCCACTTTTTATAAATTTTTTTTTACTTTTTTTTTTTTTAAAAAAATCTTTTTTTTTTTTTTTAAATTTAAACATGAATATAAATACAATAGCATCAATAAATAATAACTATAATAGAAATAATATATTAAAAATAATAAATAATAATATAGAAAAAAAAATTAAAAAAAAAGAGCTTTTAGAAATCTTAAAAAATTTAAATCTCTCAACATGTGGTACCAAAGATGATCTATTAAGAAGGGTATACATATATAAAGAAATCATTCAAATAGAAAAAGAAAGAGAAAATATCAATCCATTTAATAAAACATTATACATACCAAAAAACGAAATATTATTTTGGAGTATATTTAGAAACAAATATCTCTTTATTAAAATATTCTCATTCTTTTATTTTAAATCGTTGTATACATATCAAGAAATTGAAATCTCGGCATCGAGTTTATCAAGATTTTCAAATGCAGAAGAAATTATTAAAGATAAAATAAAATGCAATGATATTATAAAAGAAAAAGATCAATTTAAAACCATAATAACACTATATAATCATAGCAACAAAGAGTCTAAACAATACTATACACTCTTAATAAACCAATTCCAACACCAATTACCCAACTATTTTAATTTAATTTTTAAATCAAATAATCTATTTTTTATAAAACACTTTATAAATAAAAACAGTTTAGGAAAAGATGATCTTCAATATATAAGCCAATATTCATGGAAACTGAAAGGTTCAACAATCGACATATACAATATTTTAAAAAAATATCAATATATTAAAAATAAATTTTATAATAAACCAATAGAAATAAATAAAATAAATACCAAAAAAGTATATTATTTCGATAAAAGTATTAGGGTTAAAAAAATAATAAAACTTTTCAAAATAATAGTAGATATAAATCATTCAAACAATGGAAATGTCCTAAAGTTACAACAAAAGATAGAGGGTTTGATTCAATTTAATCAATATACCAATTACCAAAAGAACATGCAATACAATGACTTTATTAAATCCATCCAGAAAGAAAATAACTCTACAAATTTCAACCTATTGAAAATCCTATTTAAGATCAATAAACTATATAACATGCTTTTCAATCCAGATTGTATATCCAACTATTCCATTATTTATTATAAATTTTACAATCTCGACTCAATAAAGAGGAAAAAAATGAACATCACAATTAATATTATAAAGAATTTATATGACTATGGCCACTTGTATGAAAACAAATCGATAGAAAATATAATGGACCACCTAAAAAATACCTTTGATTATGCAAATATTTTTTATATACTCAAGAGTAATAATATACAAACAATTCAATATTTATTTAATAACTATAGTGAACAACTTAATAAAGATTTCATATATAATAATAAAATAAAAATTTTCAAAACGATAGCAACTAAACAAATATTGGATTTTTATTTCACGATATTCAAAGATCAATTATTTGAAGATAGAAACTCTAACTGGCTATATTTCGACTCTGTTTTAGTGTTTGAATATTATGAAGTTTTAATGAATTCACTAAATAGGAAAATGATAATATCCAACTACCAACCCTCGGACTATATATATTTTAAAAAAAAAGTTCACAGCCCAAATACAGTGGAGATATTGGATATGGTATTAAAAAATTCAGAACTTTATGAACTCAATCACAACTTTTCATTAGAATCATTCAAATTTAATATTTTATTATATTTAGCAAACAATAAAAGTAAATCGTTAATATCAATTTTAAATAATAGTAAAATCAAAACATTTGATTTCAATTTTATTTTGAAAGATCTTCATCAATATCCAGGTATTAAATATTTAGGTCGTTGGATTATCGAAAATTGTTTATCATTCATATACGATCACAATAGTCAAAGTGTAACACTAACTGTAGGAACAAAAAATAGAAAAAAGGTGTATATAAAAATGGGAATCAAATTAATTTTAATGTTGCAAATACAGTGTGGTTATTTCGATCAGGTAATCCAATCAATAGTAAAAGAAGAAAGACCTATATTTTTAAATATATTCCAATCCAATGGTTTACCTAAATTCAACTTTGGTATTCCTCTAAACTTTATTAAAGCCTGTATAGATTACTATGTCATTTCAAATAACGAAAAAATCAATATACTTGTGTCCAAGCTAATTCTTTCCGCTCCTCCAATCATTGTAATCAAATCGATTTTATATTTTGGTTTAAATTATGGAAAAAATAAAATGGGCCTAAGTTATCAACATTATTTAGAAATACTTAAAAACAATAGTAACAATAATCAAATTATAAATTTATTAAAAGATTTTGATTTAATAAAAGGAAATGAAATATAAAATCAAAATTAATTAAAAAAAAAAAAAAATTTTAAAAAAAACGAAAAAAGTTTTTTTTTTTTTTTTTTTTTTTTATAATTTTATTTTATTATTTCATTTGAAATGTTAAGGATTGGAGGTAGATTATCCAAAACTTGTTTTAGATGTATGTATCATAAACATATTCTCTTTTTTTTTTTTTTTTTTAAATTTTTTTTTTTTTATAATTTTTATTTTCATTTTTTCGTTTTTTTTTCATTTTTAAATTTATACTTTTTTATTAATTTTTTAATTTTTTATTTTTATAACTATTAATAATTAATATTATTGTAATATACATATAATTATATAATGGAAAATTCAAAAAATGAAGACATGACTTCAACCAATACTGCCACCGCTACAGCTACTACTGCCACAACTACAAATACAATAAACCCAAACACAACAATTTTAAATAAATCAGAAAGAACCGAAGATAAACTTGGTATTAAATTATTTTTAGGCAAAACTAAACCATGGAGTGGTTTATTAAAACAAAGATTTTCAGATTTTATTGTCAATGAAATCGATGAAGAAGGTGTTGTAACTCATTTAAAAGATGTTACATTTAAAGAAGAGGCAAAGAAAGAGGTCACTTATGAATTTGCACCAGAACAAGAATTAGAAAAATTAGTTGGTGAAGCTAAAACTAAAGAATTTGTTGAGTTTTTTAATGGTCCAAACAAAAGTGATGCAAAATCATCCTTTCTTTTTGAACCAAATGATAGTAAAGAACAAAGAACTGATTTACACAAATTAATTAAAACCAGATATCAATTAACAACTGAAACCATTGATGGTAAAGTTAAAGTTTGGCCAGAAGCGTAAATATTATCATATTACTATATTTATTAATCATAAAATACAATCAATGCTAATATTTTTATATCATATAGCAACACCAAAAAAAAAGGTAAATTTAATGAAAGATCATGGCCAGAAGACAAATCCAAATATATTCAATTTGTATTATGTAAAGAAAATAGAGATACCATGGATACAATTAGTATGATATCAAGAATGTTGGGAACCAGTGATAAAAATTTTTCAATTGCAGGTACTAAAGATAAAAGAGGTATTACCACTCAAAGAATTACAGTTTACAAAGTCACTCCAGATAGATTAGCAAATTTAAATCAAAGATTATCAACTCAAAGACCACCAATTGGATTGGGTGAATATAAATTTGTAAATCAACATATTCGTTTAGGTGATTTAATGGGTAATAGATTCTCTGTTGTAATTAGAGAAATTCAAGATGCCACCGATCAAGATATTATCGATTCTGTTGAAAGTTTCAAAAAGACTGGTTTCATCAACTATTTTGGTCTTCAAAGATTTGGTACAGGTTCCATTCCAACTTATGAAATAGGTATTGCTATGATTCAAAACAATTGGAAGAAAGCAGTTGATTTAATTTTAGATCCACGTGAGGGTGAACGTGAAGAGGCCACCAAAGCAAGACAATACTATAAAGATACTGGTGATGCCAAAACCACCATTACCATGTTACCACGTGGTTTAAATGCTGAGAAGAAATTATTAATCGCATTAAAAGGTGGAAGCACAAACTATCAAGATGCTTTCTACAGTATTCCACGTACCCTTCGTATGCTTTACACCCACAGTTACCAATCATTAATTTGGAATCTTATGGCAAGTCAAAGAATTGAAATGTTTGGCTTTGATAAACCAATAGTTGGTGATTTAGTTATTGTTTCCGAAGAATCAATTAAAGAACAACCATCCACAGAGCAAGAGACTGCAAATGAACAAGAAGAGGAAGAAGCAGGTGGTGTTGAATCAAGTGAAGGTGTAGAAAATACTAAAAGAGTTATCAAAGTAGACTATGTAACTGAAGAAGATATCAAAAACAACCGTTACACAATTCATCAAGTCGTTTTACCATTAATTGGTTCAAATACTCAATTACCAAAGAACATTATTGGCGAACTTTATATTAAAGAAATGGAGAAGAGCAATATTAATTTATCACAATTCACCACAAAGAACCGTTTAATAGACCTCAGAGGCGGATATCGTAAACTTATTGAACATGCCTCTGACTGCACCTATAAAATCTTTAACTATGACGACTTTACCATTCCACTTGCTCTCTCTGATATAGATTATCTCAATGGAAGTGCAGAACCAGTAGATGTACCAAACGGCAAACATAAAGCCCTCAGAATTTGTTTCAATTTACAAAGTTCAACCTATGCTACCATGGCTTATCGTGAAATTTTAAAAACATCAAGTGATATGAGCTCTCAAATTAACATGATTAGTAAAAATGTAAATTCAAATAACAAATCAATTATTGAAAAGAAAAGAAGCCTCGAAAATGAAACTGAAGATAAAAAGGAAAATACACAAGAAGAATCAAACAATGAACAACCATTAAAAAAACAAAATATTAACGAATAAAAACAAATAAAAACAAATAAAAAGGTAAAAAATTTATAATTTTTTTTAAATGCATGCAATGTTTTTATTCCTATTCTTATTTTTTTTGTTCTCTTTAAAAATGTAATTATACATAAACATTAACTTTGTTTGATCAAACGACTAAAAAAATCTACTTAACACACCTGGGGGTATTTGTTTTTTCTTATTATTTTTATTTAAAAATTAAATTTTTTTTTTTATTAATTTGAATATCATTAATTGTTTTTATTTAAATTTCTATTTTATTTATTTATCATATATATTTATTTATGATAATTATTTTTAGGAATTCACAGATATAGGATGAAGGTCAACTAAGTTCCAAAAAAAAAAAAAATTAAAAAAAAAATTAAAAAAAAAAATTTAAATTTTTTTTCATTTTTTTTTTATTTTTTTTTTTTTTTTATTTTTTTTTTTTTAAATTTATATTTATTTTATAAAAAAAATATTATTTACTATTTAAATTAAATCATCATTTTTTGTACATAGAAAAAATAATTTTAATTTTCACCTTTTTTGTATATATTATTGTATAATAACCAATTGATTATTTTTTTTTCTTTTTTGAAAAAAAAAAAAATAGCAAAAACATAACAAAATCAAAACAAAACCAAATCCAACAAAAATAATAAAAGGATAACTATAATAACAACAACAAGAATAATAATATAACAACAATAATAATAATAACAAATATAATATATATAATAATACGATAATAAAATGAATACAAGGAAATTACAAGGTGAAATCGATAAAACATTAAAAAAAGCAGCAGATGGCATTATAGAGTTTGATTCTATATTGAAGAAAGTTTATTCAGCTATTAGCACCAACCAGAAAGAGAAATATGAAAGCGATTTAAAGAAAGAAATTAAAAAACTTCAAAGATATAGAGATCAAATTAAAGTTTGGATAGCTTCGAATGATGTTAAAAATAAATCCGCATTACTAGATTCTAGAAAATCTATAGAAGAAGTATGTTTTTTGTTGAGATAGTAAAACTATAGTTATTAAATAAAACCTAACCAGCTTTATAAAAACATAAATTAATTTAATTGTAAAACATAATACTAATATATATATTTTTTTTTTCTATATAGATTTTAATTAATTTTAAAAAAAATAAAATAAAGAAAATGGATGATTTCTTTGAAAGAGATGCAAGAGGTAAAGGTTATTCAAAAGATAATTTAGATGCAGCTACAAAGAACGAATTGGCAAAAGATCATGTACGTGATTGGGGTAATAAAGCAATATCGACACTTAAATCACAAATGGAATCATTTGATAGCGAATTAGAATCGATACCAGTTAGAAAAAGAAAAACTGAATCAACACGTGTCGAAGCATTACAAAAGTATACCACATATCATAGATATCACTTACGTGCTCTAGAATTTTTAGTGAGAGCGATGGATGAGGATCGTATATCCCCAGATGACATTGAAAAAATTAAAGATTCAGTCGAATGCTATATAGACTCATACGAACAAGAAGATACCTTTGAAGAACCAGAAGAAGTTTATTCAAATTTTAATCTCAAACAAACTGAAATGGGTGACGAAGATTATGAATTCTCTTTAGATGAAGATTCTGATGATGAGGAAGAAGAGGGTTATTCTGATACATCTGATAATGATAATGATATTGACGATGAAACAAATAAACAAGACTCTGATAACGAAAATGGTAAGATATTATTTTTTATTTACAATTTATTATTATTATTATTATTATTATTATTATAGTTATTAATATTTATTTGGTATTTTTAAAAGAAATAGAAAAAGTTTCATCAACAGCAATACCATCAACAACAACCACCAGTGCTACTACATCATCAACTACTCCAGCTACATCATCAACAACAGCAGCATCAACAACAAGCACAGCATCATCAACTGCAACCTCATCCGCTACCGCAACCCCATCTTCTACTACAACACCCGCAACTACCCCATCTTCAACTACCGTTCCTTCAACTAAATCACCAACATTAAATTCACAACAAAGAGTAGGATCACCAGCCCCAAATCAACCACCACAACAACCACAAAACAAAACCTTGACCCAATCACCAACTTTTTCATCTGTAACTAAATCAAATATTAAAAATGTAAGTATTATTCATTCAATTGGTGTGCATAAAATGATTTTTATTTATATTAATAAAATTTTATTTATTTGTAGGATCCTAATACCAATAAGCAACCACAACCACAACCACAACCACAATCACAATCACAACCACAACCACAACCACAACCACAACCACAATCGCAACCACAATCGCAACCACAACCACAATCACAACCACAAACAAACGCACAATCACAATTCCCATCATCAATTGGAAATGTACCAATGGCACAAAGATTGATGCAACATCAACAAGCTCAACAACAGGCCGCCGCTGCAGCCCAACAAGCAGCCCAACAACAAGCCGTTAATAAAAATAAACAATTTAACGATGTCAATGATGTTCAAGATCAATTATCTCAATTAAATATTAATAAACAAATAGTACAACCACCAACCTCAGTACAAGATTTGGATGATAGTAAAAATAACGAAACCTTTGATAATTCTTCAAATATTTATCCGGGCTCATTAGCCGAATTATCATCTGCTACATTATCGAGAATTAATGAGGGTAACTATACTCAACAACAACAAGTTCAACAACAACAACAACAAGCCCAACAACAATATCTTTATCAACAACAATACCAACAACAACAACAACAACAATTGTCACCTCTTCAACAACAACAGGCTCAACAACAACAATATCAACAACAAAATCAACAAGCTCAGCAACAATATCAACAACAAATGCCACATCAAGCATATCCACAACATCCATCAATGTCACCACCACAACCATCTCTTGTATCGGGTCAACTAGGATTTGAGGATGCAATGATGTTAACCAAACATATGATGGATGTTAGTTTAAATAATATACCAGAAATTAATGATTATGAACGTGTTTCAACTTATATACCACGCAATCCAAAACCAGTACCACCATATTATCCACAAACACCACTTGCAATTTTTGACTCTTCAAATGTATTTGAAAAATTCGATATCGATACATTATTTTTCATATTTTACTTTAAACAAGGCTCATACCAACAATATCAAGCTGCCAAAGAACTCAAAAAACAAGGTTGGAGATACCACAAGAAATATTTAACTTGGTTTAGAAGACATGAAGAACCAAAAGAAATTACAAATGAATATGAACAAGGTACATATGTTTATTTCGATTATGAAACTGGTTGGTGTCAAAGAAAGAAAACTGAATTTACTTTTGAATATAGATTTTTAGAAGAATAAAAACAACTTCAAAATAATAATAATAAATAATAAATAAAAATCTATTTAAAAAAAAAAAAAAAGCCATTATTTATTTTATTTTACTTTTATTATGCTTTGTGATATATCTAATTAGCATGTGTTTGAATGACAAACATTCCTAATTATTTTTATATTTGGCTCCTGAGAGAAAAATAATACCAGTATTAGTATTTTAGTATTTTAATAATAATTTGTTGTAAACCTGCAATTGATTATTAATTAAGAAAAATGGGTTTCAAATAATTATAATAAAAAATAATTAATTTTTTTTATTTTTTTTTATTTTTTTTTTATTTTTTTTTTTTTAAAACACGGATTTTTAAAAAAAAAATTTTCATCAAATTAAAAGATATTTGCTTCACTTAATTAATAAATAATTAATAAGACAATAGTTATCATTTCAGAAAAAAAAAAAAAAAAAAAAAATAAAAATAAAAAAAAAAAAAAAGAAAAGGAGAATGTCAACAAACACAAAAAAACAAATAGATATGATATTATCATCAAATCCATCCCACCAAAAAACTAAAGGTTTTGGTGCTAATAGTGATAACATACCAGATTTCATTAAATCATCATTTATAAATAGTAGTTTGGATAACGCAACCCAATGGATTTGGTCAAATGAAGAAACTACAGACTCTAGAGTAAATCATTTATTTAATATTTGTGATGAGCAAATGAATAATCTTTACGAATGTAATTATTATTTTGAATTCATTAACACCACCCCCCAATTTCTATGCACAATAAAAAAAATACTAATTTTATTTTATTTTTTTTTTCCAATATTATTATTTTAAAAAACAGGTGAGATGAAATTTGGTAATAATAATCCAATTTGCGAACCAAAATTCAATTCTTACAATAAATGTGTATCAAAAGAGATTTGTCCAAAACAATTTTATCTAAGTCAGATTTTTTGTTTTGGTAATACCGATTTAGATAATGGCAAAATTAAAATCCCAGAATCAGCTTTAAATGAAATTAATGAAAAAGATAAAAATGATTTATGCAAACAATTTTCAAAAGAATTAACATCATGTGTAAATCAATCACTTTCAAAAATCTGGTCACCCTAAATAACTATAACCCTAATAATAATTATAATAATACCACAAATATAATAATAATAATAATAATAATAGTAATGAAATAATTATAATAATTTATATTTTTAATAATCCAAAATTAGTAGTAATAATAATTTTCTTTTAAAAGTTTTTCAAAAAAAAAAAAAAAATCATCATTATATAATAATCAATAATTATGTTGACCCAATAGCTTGCTTTTTTTATATAAAGTTATCTTTAAATAGTTTCTCAAAGTATATAAATAAAAATATTCATTTAAATTCATTTCAGATTTGGTTTATATGCATAAAAATCATTTAAAATTTTTTTTTATTTTTTTTTATTTTTTTTTTATTTTTTTTATATTTTTTTATATTTTTTTTTTAAATAATTTTTTATTATAATTAATTTATATTATTATTATAATTTTTTATTTATTCATTTAGTTTTTTATTTAACACACCTTCCTTTTGTTGTTATGTTTTTATGTGTGTGCTCAATTTACAAATTTTTTTTTTTTTTTTTTCACATGGTGATTATTTAAAGTTTAAATTATAAAAATTATAATATATGTTATATTAATAATAACTTTTTAAAAAAGAAATACTCATATCATAAATATCCCTTTGTATATAACAAATAGAGATAATAACAATATATTGTATATATAAAATTTCTTTTTTTAGTAAATCATCAAAAATTATAATAATAAAATAAATAAAAAAAATAGTATATAAATAATTTAAAAATGGCTGATTCTTTACCAATTACTACAACCCAATCAAAAACTTTAAACAGTTTAAATACAACAAAACCGACAGAAATATTAAATAATAATATAGATAGTAAAATAGAAAATAATATAGATAAAGTAAATAATGCTTTAGAAAACAATAATATAGAAAATATAAATATAAATAGTGTAGAAAAAAAAATTAGTGATAATAGTAATAATAATAGTAATAATAATAATAATAATAATAATAATAAAAATAGTTTTAGGTCATCATTATCTTCTTTTTTAACAAGTTATTATTCTAAAGGTAATAATAATTCAACAACAACAACAACAACAAATACAACCACAACAGCAAGTAATACAACATATTTGGGATCAGTTAGAGGTGTAGTTGGGTCATCGTTATCTTATGTAACAAGTAGTTTACCAATTCCTTCATATAATTCTTTACCTTCGTTTAATATACCAATTATATCATATCTTTCAAGCTCTATTCTTCCAATTAGTTATTCAAAGAATAATAATAACAATAACAATAATCCACCAAATATTGTACAGAATCCAACCACAGCAGCAAAATCCATACCAATACCAACAAAAAATTCATCATCAAAAAATAATAATGATATAACCATATCAAACATGTCACCAAATTCATTCAATAGTATCTCTTTAGAGAGTAGTAAAATGCCAATAACATCAAATTTAGGTACAGAGGAGCAGTTTCAAGATATTTTAAAAAGATTGGGATCGTCAGCATACAAATTTCATTTGTTATCATTGGATTCATTTATTGAAAATATCAACAATGATCCAAACTTGTCAATCGAGGATATTAGTTCATCAGTTCAAGCATATATTTCAACAACTTTACCAATGTTAATGCATGTTTGTGCTGCAGTACCGTTTCAATCAGATAGCACAAGCAAAGTAATCGAATCTAAATCCCAACCAATCCCAACATTAGCAGGAAAGCAAATTCTCGAGGTCGAAATTATTATTTATGAATTTATGGAGCAATATATAACAACAAAATTATATCGTAGAATTTTTTCATCTGCTGATGGCATTCAAAAAGATACCAATTTATGTGAACATATTTCGAAATTTCAAAATATTACTCCATCAAATTTAGATATCAATGACAGTATCATATCAACTCAATTCCTTGAACAGATTCAAGAGGAGTTACTCCGTATGACAGCTTATAAATCACCACGTGAAAAGCTAATGTGTATAAAAAAATCTTTTAAATTACTCTTTCAACTATTATCAAAAACATCAGAAATCATTGGTGCAGACCTATTATTACCCATTGTTATATATGTAAGAATTAATTTAAATTTTCTTATCATTTTTAAAAAAATACTAATTTTTTTCTCCATTTATAATAGTGTTTAATTAAATCAAATTTACCATTTTTAATATTAAATTTGCAATTTATATCCTTGTTTAGAGACCCAACACTTATAGAAAGTGAAACAAGTTATTTTCTAGTTACAATGTTTACAGCAACATCATTTATTGAAAATATGACCTTTGAGTCATTAACTGATGCACGTGACCCAAGTTTATCGGAAGATGATAAGGTTAAGGATAACGATGAGCATTTGGTTAGTGCAAAGGATGGTGAAATCAAAATATCAGAAAAAAATAATGGTAATGTTAATAATATTCAACAGCACGAAGCCATCAAATTAAATATCGAGAAGGAGAACTTTGTAAATGAAAATGATAAATCAAAAACAACATTTGTTCCTCAATCGACAATATCATCAACAACAGATGAGGAAAAAAGAAAACTATATAGGTTCTATCATTCAAAACCAGAAGATATTTCAATTAGAGAAATCAAACAGCTTTTGGGGGAATATAATGAATTGGTAGATAAATTATTCTCAACTGAAAAAAAATAAAATTACATTGTATTTTAGTTAAAGTTTAAAAAATAATTTTTTATTTATCTTTTATTTATTTTTTTTATTATTTTATTATTTTATAGTATTTATCCAAGGTTCAGGCTAATTATTTTTTGTAAATCAAAGATTAAAGTTATTTTATTATTACAAAAAATTATAAGTTATTTTTAAAAAAAAACTATCGAAAAAAACTTCAAGCTTAACTACTATTTTTTTATATAAATATATTTTTATTAATAACTTTATTTAAAATATTACTAATTATTATTTTTTTTTATACATATATGGTTTATCCATTTTTTTAACTAAATAATTATTACAAATAGGGCCGCTATGATGAGTGATTCATATTATTTTTTTAATTTTCTACGAATATGTTTCTGAGCGATATACCCTCCATATATTGGGAGACCAACTATAATAGTAGGAATACCAACACCAACAACAACGACACCACCTAGTACGACAGCTACACCAATTAAACCTTTTTGAGAAATACGTCTTGTGCTGCTAAGTTTCTTTGACGCCATACCTGGACAACCAAATACATTTAAATTGTTAAAGTGATTATTTGAATATTTCCCACCACATAGCCAACAAAAATTGTATCCACAGTGACATGTAATATGATTACATCTAATATATAATAATAAATTAAATTAGTATAAAATTTTTCATTAGTTTTTTATATAAAATAATATTTACCCAGCATTTTTTTCAATAACAGATTTACATTTCGGACACTTTTTGGTATCATTAGTTTTTGTCCACTTTCCATAAGTTGTATCTACCATCGTGTTTTCTAATCTCCAAATTTGATATTGTTCACATGTAGAATTATGGTGCCATTCGGCTTCGCAGTTAAAGCAAAAATCAAAATTACATTCCTTATTTGAGCATCTGGTTCTTGGATTATCTACTTCGCCATACTATAGAATGAAAATAGATTAGTATAGGTTGATATTGTTAAAGATAGGTATCTTTTATAGGATTCTACTTACAACAGCATTTTCACAGTTTTTATTTGGGCACCATTTATAGTTGGGTGTTTTCATTAAAAATATACTAAACGTAAATTCTTCATATTTGTTAAAGGTGTGATCATCAACAAGATATTTGATTTGACCATATTGGAACCATGAAGTGCATTTTGGGAATGGGCATGGTATAAAGATTTTTCTTGAAAGAATATTAGTTTTTAAATATTCAGAGAGACATTCAGTACAATAAATATGACCACATTGAGATATTAAAAATAATTTCTCTTCTTCGATTTCATCTAAAAAACAAATTGCGCATTCTGTTGTCATTGAGCTATCTACTGGTAGTATTTCAAATTTTTGTTGATATTTCTTTTCATCTTCTTCGTCATTTTCTTCTTTTACTTCTTGTTGCTCTTGAATATTATTTACATTATTATTGTTTTGGTTATTATTTACATTATTGTTATCTAATTTGTTTTTAAAAATATTATAAATTTTTTTAAATTTTTGATTGATTGTTTTTGATTGCTTTCTATTAATTGAACTTGAGCTGCTACCAATATTATATTCTTGTTGCAACTGTTGAAGTCTATTTTCATTAAAGAGTTCATTTTTGGATTTATAGTATTCTAATTGTTTTTTCAATGACTCGAATCTAGTTTCGATTGAAGCTGTTTCTGATAAGAGTTTTATTAATTGTGGTTGGTTTCCATACTAAAATTTAAAAGAAAAATTATTAATAAATTTTTAAAAATGAAAAAAAATAATTTTTTACATACAGTTTTAATTAGTTCTAACAATTCATCCTTTGATGAAACAAAATTTGAGTAGTTATCTGTTAAAAAAGATTCATTTTCTTGGTCACTTCTCCATATATCTCCCTCTTCGAATGCATTTTGAAGAGATTCGATAATATCTGAAACAAATTGTAAAGTTTGGTTAATTTCTGCAATTCTTCCACCAATTTCATCTTCTTCTTCAATTTCATCTTCTTCTACAAATACTATATCTTCTTCGTCAAATACTATATCTTCTTTGTCGTCTTCTTGTCGATTCTTATCATTATCGCTGTCATTTGCATGTTGGGATAGTTTTGCTCCATTTGATGATAATGAGGAAAATAGGTGATCATAGTTTATATTAAAATCTTCATTATTATAATCATCTTCATAAAACTCTAATTTATTATTGTTTATATTATTGTTACTATTATTAGCATCGTCTGATTCTGCTAATTTTGATGATTCCTTTATATAGTTGCTAAGAGTTTTTTTTTGGTTTTGGGAATTATTATTGTCTATAAAATCGTTTATTATATATTTAAATGAGCCACCGTCACTGTAAATATTAAAGCTTTCATCTTTTTCTTCTCCTTCATATTCCTCCTCTTCCTCTTGGTCCTCTTCATCCTCATCATAAAAATCAACATCATAGTTTATATTTTTATTCTTTTTTTTATTTTTATTTTTACCACTTTTTTGCTTTAAAATATTATTAGTGTTTTCTGCTCGAGCTTGTTGTAATAATTGTTCTAATAATTTTTGATTATCAAATGGTGATTTTAATTTTTCTTTTTGTGATATTAATTGATCATCATTGGAAATGGCTGGATGCTTTTTAGTTCTGCTTGGTGATGTTTCTGTTGAGGATGATTGTGAGCTTTGACTATTATTATTGTTATTATTGCCTATTGTAGTTGTGGTAGTTGTGGTTGTAGTTGTGGTTGTAGTATTTAATACAACCATTGTAGAATCTGGTATTTCATCCATTTATTATTATTTTTATATTTTTTTTATAAAATTAATTAAATAAAATAAAATAAAAATATATATAGGGTGGGGAAAATAGTTATTACACAATAAAAACAAAATTTTTATATTAATATATAAGTATTTTTAAAACAATTTTTTTAAAAAATAAAAAAATATATATTAAATATTTATTTTATATATATATAAATATATATATAAAGATAATATACAACAACACCAAATTTAAAAAAAAAAAAAAAAAAAAAAAAAAAAAAAAACTTAAAAAATAAAATATTTTTAAATTATTATATATCAAACATTACACACACAAACATACACAAACACCAACATTTACATATAATTAAAAAAAAAAAAATTAAAAAAAATAAATTAAATTTAAAATAAAAAAAATTAAAAAAAATTAAAAAAAATTAAATTTATTTTTTTTAATTTTTTAAAATTATATTTTTATCATTTATTTATTTAAATGAATATATATTTAGTGGTTTAAACATTACCTTTTTGTGTGAGTGAGTGAGTGAATATGTGTGTGTTTTGCTTTATAATTTATTTATATGTTTTTTTTTAATTATATGTAAGAAAATAAAATCCAAATTCGGGTAAAAAAAAAAAATAAAAAAAATAAAAGATATACCAATTTTGTAATGTATTTTTTTTAATTGGAAGTTTTGATGAACATTATAAAAAATATTTTTAGAATAAAACAGGGCATAGATATGTATTAAGAAAAAATTAATGGATTGTGATTTTAATAAATTATAGTTTTATTTTTTTTTTTTTAAATTTGGAATAATTATTTTGGTGAATAATCATTTTTATGAATAATTTTAGTGAAATTATAACCAACTATCATCACCACCAGGAGTATATGAACTCTCTCCATTAATTAATAATGATTTTGATTGTTCTTTTAATAATTTCTTTTTACGGTCATGGTACTGTTTGTGAAGTAAATGGATGCAATAGGTACATACGGCCAATAATGAAGAAAAAGCCATGATACTAAGCGAAATGCCTATAATATATTTGTAAATTGGTTTTAAAAGCATTGGACATCCAGAGTCACCAATTAAATGAATATTTACAAGACATGCTTCACGGTTTGCATTAACTGAAAGAATACGATTCTTTGTGAAACGATCACAATACAAACTAATGTGGACATTGGATTGAAGATTTGGACAGCCTATAGAATTTAAAGCTGTGTAGGTGATAATACCACCTTGTCTATCGTATTTATCGCCACTTGTAAATTCTTGAAATGAGGTTCTATGATTGAAACCCAATACTCTATAGGTATGTTCACTCTTTTCGCAAACAGCATCATCTTTTTGGTTATAACATTTTGAAGTACCATCTTTTCCACAAACATTCCAAAACAAGGTATATGTTTCTGAATCTCTATGGTCACGGAAGCTATATTGGTATGATGAAGCATTGTTGAAGCCACTGAAATCATAATCACCATGTTTACATGGATTAAATGATTCAGTCTTGTGATGATCTTTTCTAGAGAAATATTTTTGATTATCACTATTGGTATTTGGAACTAATACATCTCCACTTACAAATACTAATAAATTAATTAGTAAAATTGATAAAATAAAATATTTCATTTTATTTTATTTTTTTAAAATTTTTTTTTTTTTTTTAATACACAATTTATTTATATATAATTATTTAAAAAGTTAATTATTATATGTTTGACAAAAAAACCAATTGAAAAAATAAATTTAATGTATTTAATTGAAGTTTGAAATTATATAAATTAAAAATTATAATAATTAAATTATTATTATTATTATTATAAAAAAAAAAATAAAAAAAAAAATAAATATAATGTGTGATGTAGTGGGGTTATGTTAAATATTATTTTCAAAAAAAAAAAACTAAGCTTAGAATGGTATATGGTACTATTATATAAAAAAAAAAAGAAAGAGTGTGGTTGCTCAAATGTAGTTTAGTTTTTTTTGTTCAATAAATAAATATAATGTTGTTATGTATTATATCTATTTATAACATTAAAAATTTTATTTCTTACGAAAAGAGATCAAAAGAGATTATTTTTTATAACAACATAATATTATTATTTTCAAAAATATATTTACAATTTGATGACCATTAGTCAAATGGAAACCTTTTCAACAAGAAATGTTTGTATTAAATAAAATTAATTTTAACCTTTCCATTATTTTAATCAGATGACTCCATCAGCATTTATTTTTATTATTAAACAACTATCTTAAAAATTAAAAAGAAACAAATAGAGATTAAGATAGAGAATGCAAATTAGTAATAATAATAATAATAATCATAATCGTATCCTTGTCAAACAAATACCAGTTTAGTTAATATTATTAATTTTATAATTAATTAAATAAATAATGCAAAAAGTTTAAAAAAAGTGTACACTTTATTTTATTTTATTTTTATTTATTTTGTTATTTATGATTGGTGAATTGTATTATAAAGCTGATGTTTGATTATGTTTATTTTTTTTTATTTTTTTTGGCTCTTCTGGAGGGGGTGGAGGTGTCTCTTGTGGTATTGGGTTTTCTTTATATTTTTTACCAAGTTTTTCAATTTTTTCAATTTTTTCTTCGTAAATTGGGGATGCTGTAATAGTTGTGAAGGAATTAATTTGTCTGTAACGTAAATTTATAGCTTTTGTTCTTTGTTGTAATAGTTTATGTTGATCCTTTAGATCGGTATATTTTGCGAATAGCTCTTGACCACTTTCAGTTTTCTTCCATTCCTCTATTGGATCGTATGCAATTTTAACACCCTTTTCAATATCTAAAAATGCACCTTCTAATCTTCTATTGTATGCATCAGCTTTATTATTGTTTCTATAATCGGTAATAACCTGTTGGTTTACTATTCTGGTTTCGATATGATACATGTTTCTAAAGTTACTATTTCTATCATAAGTTCTATAGGCTGGAGTTTCAAATTCATTCTGTTTTCTTATTAAATTTGATAAACTATCCATTAAACTTTGAAATTCTATACTTGGAGGTGTATCTTCAGTTGTATCCTCACTACCCTGTTCTTTTATTGGTTCATCCATTTTATTTGCCACAATATTAACTTCTTGATTAATAGGTTCATCATTTTCCCTTTCATCATCACCATATTCTAATCCTTCATTATATTGAAATTGATTGTTATTACATACATTGATACTATTATTATTAATATTATCTATATTATTATTATTTATATTATTATCTATTATGTTACTTTCATTATCATAACTATTATTATCATTGTTATTGTTATTATTATTATTATTATTATTGTTACTATTATTAAAATTGTTTTCTTCAGGAAACAATGGTTTTAAAATTACTTTTTTTCTTCTTTTATTTCTAATATCGAGTATCTTTTTATATTTTTCACTATTTTTATCTATTTTTTGTCTATTATGTTTAGCAAATGTTACTGTGTCACTATCTGAATTTGCATCAATTGAAAACTCCTCTTGTTCCTTTTCGTAATCATCGAGATCAATTTCACTCTCGTCAACATGCACTTCAGCTTTGGTAGTTTTAGTTCCTTCAGCTGGTCCCTTTTCATCAGATTTGGCTAGCTCTTCCTGTTTAGTTTCTGGTATGATAGTTTGGTCCTTTTCACTATTTAAAATATTATTTTGTTGTTCTTTTTCTAATTCTGTTTCATTTTCAATTTGTTCCTTAGTTAGTTCCTGTTGTTCCTTTTCAATTATTTTTTCTTTTTCTTCTTTTTCTTCTTTTTCTACTTTTTCCACTTTTTCCACTTTTTCCACTTTTTCCTTTTCTCCTTTTTCTTCTTTTTCTTCTTTTTCCTCCTTTTCTTGTTGTTTTTCGTTATTGTCATTGGATATGGTTTTATTATTATTATCATTATCATTATCATTATCATTTTGAATTTTATTTTTCAAGCTTTCCATAATTTTACTATTTACATCTTTTCTACGTTTAAATCTTTTTGAGTTCAATTTTTTTGATTCTATAATTTCTTCGATTCCTTTTTGAAATTTAAGTCTTGGACCTATATGAGTAAAACCTAAATTTTTCAAAAAATCGTTATTTTCATACAAAATGAACATTGCCACACCATCAACTTTTTCGCTTTCAAAATTTTTGATAATTTCTTCTTCAAACCTTAGAGATTTTAACCACCGGATTACAGTGTCAACGTCCCACGTCTTTATGTCAGTATTTAAAAAAACATCATCATTTATATTCTTGACATGGCTACTATTACTACTGGATGATTTTACATTGTTTGTTATATTACTTGTTGTTATAGTAGTACTATTAGTCTTATAATTCTCTGCACTATTATAATAACCACTGGTGTTGTAGTGTGGTTCACCGTTGGTAGTGTTTATACTAGTTGGATTTAGGAAATATGTTGTATTGGAAGTGTTTTCATATTCTGCTTTGAGTGCATCCAATGATAAAAATGTGTCAATGACAAAATCATCTGTATTAAAGTTGGTATTACTATAACTATTACTGTTGGTATCTGAATTGGAACCTCCTATATTAAAGTTTTCAATTTCTTTTTTTTTTCCCTTCTCTTTTGCAATTGTACCTTTTTTAAGGAAATGGAAAGGCATTTTATCTAATATTAAATATAATTATTATTATTATATTATTATAATATTTTTATTTTTATTTTTATTTTTCTGGTGATGTTATATATTGTTTTGATATTTATATTTTCATATAGATATTTAAATTAATTATAAATTTATTTGTTTAAATATTTTATATATTAAATAATAATTTAGATATTATATGAATATATTTATATATTTATTTATCTATGCTATACTATATTATTTATATGTGTTGAAGTATATATTTGTGTTTGTATGTATAAAATTTTTTAAAAAATTTTTAAAAAAACTAAAAAAAAAAAAAAAGATTTTTTTTTTAAAATTTTTTAAAAAAATTTTTTTCAATTTTTTTTTGATTTATTTTTTTTAAAACATCCATTATAATAAATTTTTTTTGGATTTTTAAAAAAGTTTTCTTTTAAAATTTGATATTATTATTATTATCTATCCAAAAAAAAAAAAAAAAAAAAATATATCTAAAAAAAAAATAATTGACCAAAATTAAAAAAATATTATTTGTTTGGTTTATTGATTTGTTTGGTTTATTGATTTGTTTGGTTTATTGATTTGTTTGATTTATTGATTTAATTTTTTACATTTTTTCCATTTTAATTTTATTTTTAATAATTTTAATTTGATATTGATATTTAATAATTAATAAAATTGCAATGGTTATGATAATAGCACCTCCAACACAACCTACTACAATACCGATAATGGCGCCTTTGGATAAACCACTTTTATTTTTACAAATTGAATTTGCCGAGTTACCTTCCAATAAAACTGAAAAATCAGGATCTAATTGTGCTAAAAAGTTGAAATAGGGTATATTGACTGCAATGTAGGTTCCAGAAGAATAATAGGTTTCATTTGAACGATCTGATAAAATATCATTCGAAATTGAAACATTCGAGTTATCAATAATACCTCTTTTTATGAATCTACCATATAATGAATGCTTATTGATTTGTAGTTTTATATAGTCTGAATTATCTGCAACGGTTTCACCAAAATCTTGACCTGAGCATACATTATCTTCTTCATTTGATTGAGTTGATGCTGATATTAACAATTGAAGTCTGTTTAGTGTAGATTCGAATGGATACGAGGTAATATTGATATTATATTTTAAACTTGATGGATTCATGGTTAGTTGTTGATTTGCAAAAGTAATATTACTCAACTCTTCGAACCAAATAGTTGATACACCAACAGTACAAATCAATGAGCCATCATTTGCCTTGATATCTGTGCTGTAGAAATGAGTGTTTTTATCTATTTGAGTTTGGTTCCATTTATCGAAACGATAAATTTTTACTTCTTTGTTATAGATATCCAATTCTTTTAATGATACCAACGATATTAAACTGATTAAAGAAAAGTCATTTGGATCAGTTGTAAGATTAGCTGAGGGTTCATTTGGATTTACTACTGGTGGTGGGATGGTAATTACTTTAGATTGACATGAATCTCCGATCCATGGTGAATAGCATATACAACCCTTATCACTACAATAACCATTTTCAATACCTCCACAAACAGGTGAGCCTAAACATTTCTTTGGTGGATTGGTTGGTAACTCGTGGTTTTCATTTGCTGCCCCTACATCTCTATAAATAATTGGAGTTACTTTTATTTGGTTATTACTTGGTGTATTGGAAACTATAATTGTAAATGGTATTTCTGTTGGACCAATATTAATTGATAAAACCGAACCCTCAACTTCAACATGTGTAATATAATCTGTAGCTCCTGGAGCTCCAGTAATAAAATTAATTGTTGATGCTGCTGTAAAACCTTTACCAAATACATAAAGTTTACCACCTTTTGAATAAAAAGGTAATACACTTAAAGCAGTTGGTGGGATTTCTGCTTTAGAATTGGTTATGATTTGATATTTGCTTGGGTACCCCAAGCACTCTCCTTTTTTTGATACGAGACCATAAATAGAGATATCTATTGGATTTGGATAAGCAAAGCCGAATGGGATTGTTACTGGTGCTATATATTTGGTTTGAGTAGCTGATACTCTTTCTAAAATCTTTGCAGGAGTGGTAACAATAGTTTCACCCAAACCACCACTTAAATACAAAATTGGGAGTTGATTTTCACTGGTTCCATCTGGATGTGTAAATGTAAATGTAAATGAAAGACCCCCATATACAAAAACATCCGTACTTGATACTAGTATATCTAGATTCAATAATGGTGCAGGAGTTGAGGTTGGAATCTCTTTACAAACAACTTCAACTTCTGGAAGCCTTTCATCAGATAAAACTTTCATAAATGGATCTACAACATCATAATCAAATCCACTGCCTACATTTGAACTGTATCTACTGTATTCTGATTTGAAACCTTGTTTATCTACTAAAGTTAAATTGGAAATTTCTAAAGGCTGGTTATAACATTCTACAGGAACAGAAATTCTATATTTTCCTTGTTCATCAATTTGATTAAAAGTAACATTATAAGAATATTTTGCATAGGTATTTCTTTTAGATTGTACTGTTACAAAACCCCAGTCAAAACCATTTAAGCCCTCTTCAATAACAATAAGCCATTCTGCATAGATTTGACTTTTTATATCAAATAATACTGGACTGGAGACAACTGAAATACTCTTTAAAATTGGAGGCATTGAATCGGACTCTTTAATTTTAAAAAAGAAAATTAAAGTTATTAGTATTTATAAATAATTAATAAGTAATTTAAATATGAATATAAACTATAATTACCCAATGAATAAGATCTTAAATTTACTTTATCTTTACTATCTGAAAATATAAACTTCATATAATCTGATGTTAATTTTGCAGAGTTTTTAAGAGAGTTTGTGATTGTGTAGTCCAATTCTCCAGTGGGTAAGTTTGCAGGTACATAAAAATCAACTTGATATATGCCCTCAGAGTTTAAATAGAAAGGAGCAAAATTACCGAAATGTATATTTCTATTTAATTTTGGTGTTAGTGCAAAAAATGGTTGGTAGAAAAACAAATTATTTTCGTTGTCAAATTTAATTTTTAAATATGCACTATTATAACCACCCTTGGATGTTAAATTCATTGCTGGTGTTTTAAAATAAAAATCAACAATTGTAAATTTTTCTAAAATAATTAAAAAAAAAAATTGTTGTTAATATTTTTTTTTTTTTTTTGTGCTTAAAATATATATATACCTTCATAACCTGGGTATTTTGGTGCACTTATATAATCAAAATATCTATATTGTTTCATGACACCTGATTCCTTGTATATAGTGAATATAAATCCATCTTCTGGTGATTGGGAGGAAAGTGAATTAGCTTGAAGTTTAAAAACTGTACTGTAGATTGAAGAAGTAGAATTTGAGTAGACCAAATGAGATTTTTTTAAATAAATTTGAGATTGCCCATATAACATTAAGAAACCAGAATCTGGTGTGCCATTTGGTGTATAAACGAGCTTAATAGACCAATAACCATAGTTTAAATTTTTAAATTCAATATCTCCAAAAAGTGACAAATCAGTTTCGGTATCACTTGCTAAATTTTTTTGTTTTTCCTGAAGTGTGGTAAGAGTAGCAACTATAGCTTTAGTTGCATATACTGATTGTTGAATTGTAAATTTAAATGAATCTCCTAATAAAGAGTAGGCACTTTGAACACCAAAAGGATAGACTGCATCAAAACTACTTATTTCGGGTAAGCTATCCAAACCTATTCCAATCCTAAATGAATTACCTGGCCACAAAATTGAAGTAGCTTCTAATGATAATAAATGGTAGGCCCCTATTGGTACAACTTCTTTGAAATTATCGGAAACTGATGTGTATGTGAACATATATGAATTAAATGAAGAATAATTATATGATGGGGTTGAACTAACGACTGAAGTACCAGGATTTGTTACATTGATCAAAAGATCTAAATTATTATAAAAACTATAAAAAGTTTTAGTAGAGGATGTTGTAACTAACCATATTGAGTTTAATTTATCAGCACTGTTTGATATTAATTTTGAATTTGTTTGGAATTTATCCTGAGAATCCCATCTACCAAGTAAATATTTTATTGGCTTATCTGATGTAATATTAATGAATGAATATGCCTTAAAGTTGTTTACTGAATTTAAAACAATATTGGACTGAGATGGATATGAATAAAAAGAATTTGTTTTATAAAAACTAATCTTATCTAAATTGGGAAAATAATTTATTGTTAATATATACATTATATTATTTATATTAACTAAATAAATAAATAATTACCATATTTATAAAAACTAAAGGTAACATTAAAATCAATTGAAGTTAATTCTTGAGAAGTGAAATATATATTTATTTCTTGAGGATTGGTACCAAGCATTGGAGAAATATAAATTTGATAATAGTTATTTACAGTGGTTACTAAACAAAGATTTAAGTTACCCAAACAAGGCACTGAGGATCTTGTGGAGTCTACAATTAAAGTAGGCATTAAGGTCGATCTGTCGAAATCATTAACTTTAAAGTACCCTGTTATCCAGTTATCTCTGAATGTTAAACTTGACACTGCAATATTTGTTTTATCTTTTAGTGTTGGAACTAATTATTAATAATAAAAATTGGTGTTGGTTAAAAAATTAATTTTTTAAATTATATAAATTAATACTCCTACATACAATTACATGAATAGCTATAAAGTACACTTTTTTTATCTATATTAGTCTCCATCAAAAGAGTTGTTGAACCTTCTACTATACCACTAGTTTCTATATCAAAACTAAATAAATAAAGAAACAGAGTACTAATTTGATTTATAGTTCTATTAAATGGAGTGGGTGGGTTTATTTCGGATACTTTAATAAGATATGATGAATCTGTTTGTATATAATACATAGTTGCATAAGAACACTTCAGTGTATCATCTACAAACAAAAACTGTCTTATGAGATCAGATCTTCTAATTGATAATATATTTTGACAATAGCATTCTATAATTATATTAAAAAATAAAAATAAAATATATATATTTCTTTTTATATTAAACATTATATATACTTTAATATTAATTTTTATTATTTATTTATGTAAAGAGGTTTATAAAAATTTATAATATAAAAATTTTAAAGCAATATTCTCCTAAAAAAAAAAAAAAAAAAAAAAAAAAAATTTAATCGAAAAAAAAAAAATTATTTTTTCTTTAAAATATCTTATTGTTATCCCTTGAATATATTCAATTAAACTCCATAAGATTATTTTTTTTAACCGCTTTTATAATATAACCCAAATTTACAAAAATGATGGTTTTTTTTAAAGAAAAAAGTAAATTAGTTGAAATAAAAAAATCTTAAAATTAATCTTGATGATTTTATTTTCATTTGTATAAATTTTTACATTTTATTTATTTTCTTCATTTCAATACTATTTATGATACCTTAATTTGTTATTTAAATTTAATAATTAATAAATTTGAAACGCTCAATACAATAGCGCCACCAAAACAACCCACCACTACAATGTCTTTAGATAAAGATTTTGGATTTATCTCTATTGACATCGATGAGAAAACTAAAATTTGGATCTAGTTGGCCAAATAATTAAAATTTTAATTACTCGGCCAACTAGGTCCAAATTTTTGTGTTGTGGAGAGATAATAGTTTGAAGTGTAAATCAGCTAAAACTGTATTCCCAATTGAAATAATTTTGGAATCAAAAAGACCTATTTTAATAAATCTACCATATAATAAATGATCTTTGACCTGTAAACATTATAATTTGGTTCTATTTTTAGAACTTGACCAGATCTTCTTAATAGGAAATATAAAGCTGTCAATTGAAACAATAGGATATTTTTTTAGAATCTGTTAAAGATGGAAAACTTTTTCGAATTGAAAAAAGAATTTTGATTAAGATTGGGTAAATTAAATAAAATGAAAAGGAATGGACCAAGCTATAAAGGTAAAAGCAGAGTATGATCGTAGAAATTTTTTTTTTTTTTTTTCGTTTTTTTTTTTTTATATTATTTTTAATTTTTTTTTTTAATTTTTTTATTTTTTTTAATTTTTTTTTACTTTATTTTTATTTTTTTTAATTTTTTTTTTATTTTATTTTTTATTTTCGAATTTATTACAAACAATTAGAAAATGCCTTGCTTATATATCTGCGGTGGTATGTTTAATTTAAATATAATAAAAATACATTTATTATAAATTAAAGTAATATATTAACCTATTTTATATTATTTCTATTTTATAAAATTTTAAACAATTTAACAATTCAAATTAGAATGTGGTGCTGAACACGAAATTAAACCAAAAGAACCAGTTAAATGCAAAGATTGCACCTATCGTATTATGTACAAAAAGAGAACTGATAAAAGTATATATATATATCTAATAATTTTGATTCACCATTTTTCAAATATGATTTAATAATTATAGGCATACTAATTAAACTATTTTTTACTTTAGTGATTCAATTTGAAGCTCGTTAAAGAATTTTTAGAGACAAACAAACAAACAAACAAACAAACAAACAAACAAACAATATATAATATACTTTTTTTTTTTTATAAAAATGTTATTAAAAACTAATGAACAATAAATAGCATTTTCTGTACAAATTTTCAATAAACTCACAACTTTAAACATAAAAGAAAACAAATTTTTTTTTTTTTTTTTTTTTTTTAATATAAATTAAATTTTATAATTTAATATGTTTATATATATATTTTATTTTTAAATTTTATTAAGATAATTTAAATAATTTTAAAATATCTCTTTTAGTTTCATCACTTTGCAAATCTCTTAGCGAATTAAATAAACAAATTGGACAAGATTGGGAAATTGATTTTTTGTTAAATTCTTGGAGCATAAAGTCTAAAGTTTCAGTTGGTGGATTTCCTGAAGAGAATGATAGTTTTTTAACTTCATTTTGAAATTCTGGTAATGTTTTAGCATAGAAATTCTTTTTACTGAAAAAGTGGTTACAGGTGAAAGCAATATCTTTTTCGCCACTGGTAATATTTGGGGCAATAGTGAGACTTGAGTAAATATCTTGATTCAATGTTGGAATTTCAATTTTGCTTCTTTGTAAAATATTCTTTTCTAAATTATCTTTAATATTTTGCCATAAAATTTTTTCAGAGACTTTTTGTGTTTCTAATTATAAAAAGATGATTTATTAGTAAATGGATATAGAGCGATAAATTAAATGTTTAATTAAATCAGTTACTTACTTTTATCGATATCGGATTGATTTTTTAAATTTTGTAAATAGTTTTTAATTGTTAAAATGTAAAATAATGGTGAAAACTCTAAAACTAAAGGTAAATCTAATTTGTTATTCAATTGGATTGTGAATGCTAGAGTATCAGAGAAATAGTCCAAATTGGTAAGAAGGAATGTTTCTAAATCGTTTAATGGCAAATTTCTCTTTTTCCAATAATTAAAGATTTGTGATAATAGTTTATATTTTAATAAATGGTTTTCTTCTTTTACAGTTTCAGATCCAGATTGGGAAGAGGAGTCATTATTTACTAAATCAATAGAAGATAATGATGATGATTTTTGAATGTTCGTTTGTGATGATGTTTGTTGTTTGCTATTTAAATTTGGTGAGGAGTGAGTAGAAATCATTGGTGGGCTATTACCAGATGATGGAGTAGTATAATTTGAATTATCACTATTATTGTTATTACTATTATTATTATTATTATTATTGTTACCATTAATTTGTTGCAATTGAATTTGTTTTTGTTGATGATAAATTTCATAATCTTTAATAAAATAATGTGCCAATAAAGAAAATAGGGTATAAAGTTCTTTTTCTTTATCTAAATCTTTCTTTTCTAATGCTAATAGTTTATACTCTAATGTTGAAACTTGATCTTTTAATATATCATAAATAACTGCTACAATGTCATAGTTTTCAAATTGTTTAGCCTTGTTTAAGATATGGAATGGACGATAGCTATCAGGGTTTGAACGTAACATTTCTTCGAGTCCCTCTTGGCTATATCTTTGCTTTTTGTTATCTGCTTGAAGTCCACCGAAATTTGGTTTGGTTGAATCGTTGAGTGATATTCTGGTTGGTACCCATACATCATCATTTTTTCCATTACCTATTTGACCAAATCTGCCACAACCCCATACATAAATGGCATTGTTTGAGGTGATCATTGCACTAAAATCTGAACCACAACTAATATCGATTAAATTGAGTGAATTAACACCTTTAATAGCAGTTGGGATTGGTTTGTCGAAAAATGGAGACTTTAAATCCCCTCCAAGGCCCAACTTACCATGTTCTGCAGATCCCCAAGCATAAATTGGTGAAGATGATTTTCCGTTCATATTTTCCTCGTCTTCATCATCTTGATTACTGTTGTTCAAGTCATCTGGGAATGTTATTGTCATTGTATGATTTTGACCACAAACTACTTTACTGACATTCTTTTGAATGAAAAAGTCAACAACTTTTGGTACCGATTCGTCCTTATCTGAACTGTGACCTAGTTTCATATGTTCACCTGATCCCCATGAGTATACGTTCTTTAGATCGGTTGTGGCGACTGTATGGAAATGACCACAGGAAATCTTGGTTACACCACGAAGTGTTTCTATTAAACGTGGCTTCGAAATGTTTTCAAATACCTTGTGACCTAATTGACCTTGTTTACCTAAACCCCAGGAATAAACTTCACCATTTTCACTACAAATAACTGAATGACCAAAGCCACATGCAATTTGAGTTATTTTACCACCATCATGATGTTGAAGACCACCCATAATAGCATTGATTTCGATACGTGTTGGTATATTTTTACTATGGAATGAGCCAGTACCCAATTGACCAAAATCACCATAACCAAATGAAAATAATTCACCAGATTTCTTTAATACGATATTGTGAGCAAAACCTGCAGCAATGGCTTGAATTTTTTGACCTGTTAGTTCTTCAATTACTTTGGGTCTACTTTGATTTACTGCTTTTGTACCATGACCAAGTTGGCCAAATTTATCGGAACCCCATGAATAGACAAAATAGTTAGAGTCAACAGCAATGGTATGTTCGCCACCACACTCTACCATGAAAATAGGCGATTTTCCACGGAAAAAGTCAACTCTTTTTGGTAATGACAATGTTTTGTTAACTTCCAAGCCATGACCTAATTGCCCTGATTGGTTACTTCCCCATGTATATAATTCACCATCATCAGTAATAACTGCAATATGGTCCCAACCACATGATACTTTGATTGCTTTCTTTTCATTCTTCAATGGTGCCATTGGGAAACGCTTCAATTCTGGGTCTATTCTAATTTTATGGTTGATTTTAGTTTCATCATCGCTGATGTCCTCTGTATTGGTTGTTGTATTTGTAGTTGTAGAAATTTCAGATTCATTATCTGAGTCTTGATTTGATTTTTCATTTAATTCGATAGAGTTTCTATGGTGGTGTCTATGATGGTGATGATGGTGGTGGTGGTGGTGATGATGGTGTTGATGTTTTTGACGACGTAAATGAATTAGGCTTAATAAAACTATTAAATATAATTCAAAATATTCTTCATCTTTGATTGGTAAACCTTCGCTTTTTCTACCTGGTATTATGCTATTGTTTTCAAATAATTCTGGATCATCATGTGATAATATACCATTATTGCTAGAGTTATTGTTATTGTTTATATTGTTATTATTATTACTATTATTGTTATTATTTAAATTATTTTGTTGTTGATATTGTTGGTATTGTTGTTGATATTGTTGTTGATACTGTAATTGTTGTTGTTGTTGAATTTGATGAAGATGTGAAACAGCTGGGTTTGTTTTATTTAGTTTTGGATTTAAGGCACCAGTTGGAGTAAAAATGGATGGATCGAATGCTAGTGCCATATCCTGTAAATCTTTTTCCTCTAATAATGGTAATATATGGTATAGTCTACGGAGGTAACGTGGAATAGTTTGTGGATCTTCAATAATTAGTTTTAATTGAAGGTTTGGTGGTAAACAATCGAAAACCATACCATTTGAATGACTTTTAATCTCTGAGCTATAGGCTGATTGGAGGAAAGAAATATTTTGAGCATCCAAATGTAATATATCAGATTCAATAAGCATTGAAAGAGCAGTGGTCATTATCTTTCTACTATGGGCAACAGCAAAGAAATACTCTAAAAGACCATTCGATGATAATAATTTTAGTGCATTGATAACTGCATAGTCTTGATTAGAGGTTAAGAAATTTGAAAATTCAGCATCTAATGATTTGAAATCTTCTTTTGATGTTAAAAGTTTTTGTAGATAACATTGGAATAAAATATCAGATATTTTTTTACGGTCCATTGGATTGAACGAATCTGGTTGATGGAGTATAGCTTTCAAATGTGTCATGATAATATCCATACGACCTATTTCTAAAAATTTAAAAACCAGTTTATTTGTACGCACACCAGATAAATAGTAGAGATCCAATGCACGACCATACTGACCTTGATCAAATGAATAGTCTGCAGCTGCTTCATAACAACTTAACAAATCCATTCTAAATGTTTTACCTAATGCTTCACCATCGCTTTTCTCTAAATTACATGAAACCAATTCGAAAAATATTTCTTCTGGTGATTTTTTTTGTCTTAATTCATAAATTGCATAGTTGGTCCATAATGAAACTGTTGGTAGTTTAGTGTATTTGATGTCATCGTAACCATTGCTGCTATTGTTGTTATTTGGGTGGTGATTTAATGATTTTGAGATACCTAAAATTATTTCGCCAGGTGCTAATTGGAAAGTTTGCATAACCGATTGGTTATTAACATATTTTGAGTTACTTGCAGTACCGGCAACAAGATTTGAAATAATTAATACATTTGAACGTTGTTCTGGTTGCTCTGAGCTTGTTGTAACTTGCTCGCTGACAATTGTAATATGCTTGGTAAAGAAAAAGTTGGATGTTCCCGATGGTAATTGATAAACAAAAAGTGGATATTTATTCAAATAAAGAGGCTCATAGATTTCTAATTTTGATGTTGACCTTAAGAATGAAACCACAACATTTTCATTCGAATTTGATGTATTGACTGAGGGTAACATACCACTTCCACTGCCTCCACTAATTGACAATGGGTTTGAAAAGTTGAATAGTGTTGGATATTGTGATGTTGATGTGGTGGGTGAGGATTGATTTTCATCAGAGTCATTTGATTGTTGGGTAACATTGGTTTTTTGTACCATTAAAATACGATCTGATGGGTTTCTATCACTATGGAATAGAGGTTTAATTGAAAAGTCTGATGATTTTAATAAGCCACCAATATCATTGCTACTTGAGCTGTTTGTAAGACTTTTATTGTTGCTAGAACTACTTGGAATAATGGTTTCGAAACGGTGGTTATCAATCTTTTGCTCTATCAATAGTTGAAAGTAGCCATTATGTTTTGAGGTAATCAAGAGGAATGTTTCGCTATCACTCTGTACCATTTCAATCTTTTCAATTTGGTGTTCGAATCTGTGTTTATAAATTGAACTATCCACTAAATTTACAAAATATATATTATTTGAGGTGGTTGTAATGATTGCATAGTCTACACTATTTGAAGTTTTCCACCATAAACAATTTGAACCTGCAGCTGTTTTCTTTGTTAATTGTGGGATTTTAAATTTTGAAAAACCATTTGCATGTAGACCAATTTTATGGCCATGAATACCACCGCTGTCTTTTGAAGTTGAGGTTGAGGAGTTATTTGATGATGATGTTTTTGATGCTATAACTTTTGATGTAGATCTCCAAAATGATAAATCTGGCTTGCCTGATGCTTTATTTGGTGTGCTATTTGTGTTGTTGCTACTACTGTTGCTATTTGAATCCAAATTACTATCATCCATATATCCTACTTTTTTACACATATCATAATAGATTGGTATAACTTTACATGATGTATCGTTTAATAAACATAAGAGCCATATTGCACTTGGATCAAAACACATTGAAACTATCTTTTTATTTGGATCTTTATCCCATTTTAAACATTTATAAAATGGTACTTTGGTTTGACCAACATATCTAAAAATTAAATAATCTAATAAAAGTGTAAGAAATTAATTTTAAAACAAAAAAAATAAAAAATAAAAAGATAACTACCATTTGAGCAATACATTGCGGTAAAAAAATGGTCATCAGATCCACCTTGAGCCAATAATAAAATTGAAGTTGGTTGATCCTGTTGTAGTTGCTGTTGTAAATGTTGTTGATATGATTGTGAATGTACACCATATTTATTGTAATGATGTTCATCTTTTGATGAATTGAAGTGATCCGATAATGATTTTGGGTTTGAGTTTGATCTTTTTAATTGGTTATCGTGTGAAGATTGTTTATTAATAAATTGATTACTAGTATCGCTTTTGCCTAAATGATTATTATTATTACCACTATTATTATTACTACCTGGTGTACTATTAATTGAAAAAACCTTATTCATTGAGTATAATTCATAGTTTTTTGTAAATGAACCAATTTGGGGTGTATGTGATGATGAGTTTATATTTGCTTGTTTCACATCATAGAATTTAACCCCACTAATAGTTGGTGATGTTGATGATGAATATGACAATGAGTCACCTAAATTTCCTAGACTATTATTTAGACTATTATTGTTACTATTTCCAATACTATTAGTACTACTAGCACTATTATTTAACCATTTCTTTTGATTATTAGACATTTTAATATATGTTTATTTATTAAAATGTTTTAAATAAATCAAAGAAATATTATATTTAAATGTTTATATAAACATATAAAATATATATATATATATATATAAAAACCTGTAAAGAAATAATTTAAAAGAGATAATAGATTTACAAAATGATAAATGACAATAAAAAATAAATAAAGATTTTTTTTAAAAAATAAAAAAAAAAAAATAAAAAAATATTTTTAAAAAAATTTTAAATTATTTTTTTATTTTTAATTTTTTTTATTTTATAAAAAAGAATTTTAATTTGAAAAGTTTTTATTTGTTTTTATTATCCACATTCATAGCACACATTATCTAAAAATGAAATCTAAACAATAAATAAATAAAATTAGAAATAAGTTTTATTTTAATTTTTAAATTTTTATTATTTTTGAAATTTCTTTTAATTAAATAGTTTTAAGAGATCAGGTGAGCAATGATCGTAAAACCAACAAGAAACACAGGTATATGCTTTTTGCAATTGAATACAGTTATAACCCCTTGGACATGAGTCTTGGTCACATCTATAGTGTGGTTTATTTGGAACTGAGGTGGTTGTAAGTATACCAATTGAAGAGGGTTCTTCGCTTGATATACAGTTGCCAGAGTAATAACAAACTCCATCAACCATCTGCTTGCATGGATCGTTATCGCATGGAGTTAATGAACCGTCACCTAAACATACACCAGCACTATCAACAAATGGACAAAAGATCTTTAAACTTGAAAATGAAATTATAAATTCATAGTCTGGAGATGGAATTTTTCTTTGGGTTGTAAATACATCAACTTGGAACACATCCCCCACTTTAGCATCTGGTTTATATTTTAATAAATTGTAGCTAACCCCATCAGCCTCACCAGAGTAAAACATTTGATAAGCTAGGTTACCATCAATATAGATCATGACATCATTATAGAGGGAAACATCTACAATAGGTTCACTACCATCCAATACCTGCACATTTAGTTTCATATGCATTGTGTAGTAATAGTTATGAGTGGTATTTGCAACAGCTTTGCCAGACGATGGGTATTGGATTTTATTGTCAAAACCTTGATTATCTATTGGGTGATTGATGATGTATTGGCAGTCAAATTTAGGGTCTTTACTTTTACCATATTTCATTGTTTTAATAATTGGAAATGTTTTTCCTTGGACTGGTCTGAACCATTCAGAAAATGACTCTTTGCTTTGGATAATAGTATTCCCATTTTTATCTTTAACTGAATTTGGGTATTTGTTAGTATTCCATTGGGGCAATCCGTCTGAACCTAATTTACCAGTAACAATATCTTGAATTCTATAATCTGGTATATTTTCATTGAAATCCTATAAAACATAATTAAAACACTTAGTAGCACATATAATTGTTCCCAAAAATAATTAAAAATACTTACAATTTCCCTACTAGGTGTTGTGTCATATATAACAAATGAAATATCATCTTTTTTTTACAAAATTAGTATTATTTTTTTTTTTTTAATTATTTTTATAAAAATAATACTTACCATTGCTTTTTACTGATATAAAAGATATTGATATTAAAAATATTAGATATAGGTAATATATCCTCATTGTGACTGAATATTAATAATAATAATAATAATAAAAAAAAAAAAAAAAAAAAAAAATTTTATATATTTATTTATTAAAAACAAAAATTATTACAATTTAATATACAAAAATATTGTTGTTAACAATAATATCATAGAATTGAAATATATAATTTGTATCCACAATAAATTATATATGGATTGAATATATAATATTAATTATTGAAAATTTTAATGTAAAAACATCAAAAAAAAAAAAAAAATTATGGGCACATGTGTGTGGGGTATAAAAAATTTGTATACTAACCCTTTTTTTTTCATATATAAACGAATATTCATATCTACTTGGACAATGAAAATTTATAAAAAAGTTATATTTTTTTGATTATTAACAGGAATGTGCCTAATAATCATCATGCATAGCTTGGTTTATTATTATTTTTAAATTGACAATAAACTATAAATACAAATTAAAAATAAATAAAAAAGTTTGAAAAATACTTTATAAGAAAAAAACAAAGAGAATTATTATTTAAATAAGAGAATTTATTTGATTTAGTTTTCAGAGTCCATGTGTGGGTATCTCCAAGTGGTAACTGGAAGCCAGTTTTCTTTGATGGTACGAGCTGAGACCCATCTTAAAAGATTGAGGTATGAACCAGCTTTATCATTTGTACCTGAGGCTCTAGCACCACCGAATGGTTGTTGACCAACAACGGCACCAGTACATTTATCATTGATATAGAAATTACCAGCAGCATTTCTTAATTTGTGGCTAGCAGTATTAATAGCATATTTACAAGTAGAGAAGATTGAACCAGTTAAGGCATATGGTGAGGTAGTGTCACATAATTCCAACTATAAATTTAAAAAAAATAAAAAAGATTAGTAATTTGTAAATTATAATTTTTTTTTAAAAAAAAAAAAAAAGAAATAATTTAAATCAGACTAAAATCAATTTAAAAAATTGATTCCGAAAGAGATTGTAATCAAAGTTTTTAATACGGCTCTTCTTGGGTATCATCATTAAAAAATTATTTCTTTTTTTTTTTTTTGAATATTAAAATACTTACAGCTTCTTCAAATTTGGCATCTTCGTAAACGTAAATGCTTAAAACTGGACCGAAAATTTCTTCCTCCATTGATTTGTAGTGTGGATCTTTGCAGTGAATGATTGTTGGTTCAACAAACCAACCAACACTGTTATCACATTTACCACCAACGATAATTTCAGCATCTGGTGAAGTTTTAGCATGTTCGATGTAAGATGAAATATTGTTGAAAGAGTTTTTATCAATAACAGCAGACATGAAGGTTGAGAAATCATCAGATTGACCCATTTTCATTTGTTTGACACCTGAAACGAGTTTTTCTTTAATTTCTGGCCATAATGATTGTGGAACGTAAGCACGTGAACAGGCTGAGCATTTTTGACCTTGGTATTCAAATGAAGCACGAAGAGTACTGTTTACAAAAAGTTCAACATCACCAGAGTTGTGGAGGAAGTGGAAATCTTTACCACCAGTTTCACCGACGATACGTGGATAACCTCTGTAAAGACCTTTGACAAGATTGTCGGCAGTTCTCTTATAAATACCATTGAATACACCAGTTGAGCCAGTAAAGTGGAGACCGGCAAAGTTTTTATTGTCAAGTAAAAAGTCACCAATAACACGACCACTACCTGGTAAAAATTGGATAACACCATCTGGAAGACCAGCTTCACGGAAAGCTTTGAAGACAATGTAGTTGGAAAGGACGGCAGTTGAGGCTGGTTTCCAAAGAACAACATTACCCATAAGAGCTGGGGAGGATGGTAAGTTAGCACCAATAGCAGTGAAGTTGAATGGTGAGATGGCAACAACGTAACCTTCTAATGGACGGTATTCAACACGATTCCAAACACCTGGTGAGTTGGCTGGTGGTTGTTGGCTGTAAATTTCTTCGGCATATTTTGGATTGAAACGAAGGAAATCAATTGATTCAGCAGTTGAATCAATTTCAGCTTGCCAAACAGTTTTACCTTGACCAAGCATAGTAGCGGCCATAACTTCATAACGGTATTTAGTATTTAAAAGCTCAGCAGTTTTAAGGAAAACTGATGCTCTAGCTTCAAATGGTAAAGTTTCCCATTTAAGTTTGGCTTCTAATGAATTGTCAATGGCTTCTTGAAGAACTTGGGTGTTGGCTTGGTGGAAAGTAGCTAAAACTTTGTTGTGGTCTGAACAGATTAATTGTTTTTGAATATCACCAGTACGAATTTCTTTACCACCAACAATACATGGAATATCAATGGTTGAATTTCTTAATTTTTCGCAAGCTTCTTTTAATAATTTTCTTTGGACTGAACCAACTTCATAGTTGTACTATAATTAAAACATTATTATTTAAAATATTAGTTTTTGTTTTTAAAAAAATGATTATTTTTTTTTTTAAAAAAACGAATGAAAAAAAAAAAAATAAAAAAAAAAAAAATAAAAACGAAAAAATGGTTTTTTTTTTTTTATTTTTTTTTTAAAAATTTTTTAACACAAGATTTACATAAAAAAAATTATGCATAAAAATTATATTGTAAAAAAAAAAGCTGGGAAACTAAAAATATTAAATGTTTTAATTTTTTTTTTTTTTTTTTGGCAAATATTTAATTTATTTAATATTTAATTAAAACCACTTAGTTTTAAATTTATTGAAATGAAACAAAAAAAATAGTGAAAAGATATAGAGATATAAAAAAATGATTTGATATTTAAAATAAATATAAAATAATTGATTTGGCATTACTTACTAATTGTTGGTTAATAGGTGTTGGTATTGAGGCTCTTGAAAATTGAGACATTAGTTTAAAACTGTTTCTTAACATTAATGCTAAATGTTTTCTTTGTTGGGAGGATTTGGGGTTTCGGTACTACTTTATTAAAACAATAATAATAAATATGATTTTATATTACTGTCTGAATGATGTGGTATTTTTGAAGATAAAAAAAAAAAAAAATTAAAAAAATTAAAAAAAAGAAATTTGAAAAAAAATTAAAAAAAAAAAAGAAAAAAATAATTAAAAAAAAAAAGAAAAAAATATATTTTTTTTTATAAATTAAAAAAAATAAATTAAAAATAATTGATATATTAACCAAATAAATCAAAATCAAAATCAAAATTATAAATAAAAGGGTAATATTTATCTTTTTAAAATAAAAAAATGAAAAAGAAAGAATAAAAATAAAAATTATTATAAAAAATAATTTGTCTCTTTGTGTGTTGTTTTATTTCTTTTTTTAATTTTTAATTTTTTTTTTTTTTTTAATTTTAAATTTTTTAAAATTTTTTTTAAAATTTTTTGTAGTTGAAAAAATAAATAACATATATATTGCAGAAAATGAATAAAGATATAATAACAAATGAAAATGATAATGAAATGATGGAGGAAGAAGGGTTATCATTTGAGCAATTTGACAGAAATGTAGAAAAACCAAATAATAGTAAAGAATTAGATTCAGTTATTTTAAAACAAACCTTAAATACAATTAACTCGGATGCAGGTATCAAGCCAATCCCAATTAAAAACGAAGAGTTATCAGAAAAAGACAAAGAATCATTAAAAGAAAGGTTATTTAAAAATGATGATATTTCAGATGACGAAGATGAATATATTAAAAATAAAAAAAAAGAAATTGAAAATATAAAACCTCATTACTCATCAGAGGACGAGATGATCAAATTTAGCATACAGGATTTAAAGACATTTATAGAGAAATTAGAACAATCAAATTTAGAATTGGCACTGGAGTTTCAAAATGATCCAGATCCAGTATACTATGAATCAATTAATGAAAATATTCAAGTCATCGAAAAAAAGAAAAGGGTTTTAAAAGATTTAGAAGATATTTTAGTTAAAAAAGAAGGTTTATTTTTATAACAATAAATAAATAAAATAAATAAAAAAAAAAATAAATACACAAATAAAAAAATAAAACCAAGGAATAAAAGTTTATTGTTGTAAAAATAAATAAATAAATATGGTAAATAAAAATAGTATCTGTAAATAGTTTAAATTACTTAATGTATGACTATATAGTTTTTTTTTATTTTTTTATTTTTTTTTTAATATTATCATTCACAAATTTTTTTTTTTTTTTTATTTTTTAAATTTCATTCTAAAAATCTTGTGGAATTGTGTGGAATAGTTTAAAAATTTTTTTTTTTTAAATTTTTTTTTATCTCAAAATCTTCTTTTTTAAAAGATAATATGAAGAATATATATAACAAATTATTTGTTATTTAAATATTTTAATAAATAATAAAAATAAGCAATTGTAATAATTAACAACATTGTATTAAATTATTAAATAATTAAAATATTTCCTTTCAAATATTACTTAGTTGTAATATAATTATAATAAATATTATAATAATAAATATAGTTTTATAATGTCTAAGCAAGAGTCAGTTGGACATAGATTTTTATTTGGGGGTTCTAGTTGCATGGTAATTAAACAATTAATTAGTTATTTATTTATTAAAAAAAATATATTAATTAACTTTTTTTTTTTTATTATTTTATTATACAATAATAAAGGTAGCAGCATGTGTCACTAATCCAATCGATGTACTTAAAACCAGACTTCAAATTCATGGCGAGTTAAATAAAATGAACACAGGTGGTTCAGGTAGTTTTATTGGTAGCACAATCAATGTAATTAGATCAGAGGGTATAGCGGGATTATATAAGGGTTTAACACCATCGCTTCTCAGAGAGGGTAATTATATTGATATAAATTCATACAGATTAAAATGATTATTTCTCATACCAATTTTTCTTTTAGGTTCATATTCAACAATAAGAATGGGAGGTTATGATATAATAAAGGGATATTTTATAGATCAAAATGGTAAAACTAATTTATTGTCAAAGATTTTGAGTGGTGGAATTAGTGGAGCTATAGGTGCATCAATTGCAAATCCTTCAGATTTAATAAAAGTACGTATGCAAGCATCATCAAAAGGTATTAAATATAAATCAATTGGGGAAGCTTTTAGACAAATCATTACAAAGGAGGGTTGGGGAGGATTGTATAAAGGGGTTTGGCCAACAACACAAAGAGCAGCATTGTTAACAGCAAGCCAAATTCCATCTTATGATCACGTTAAACATTTGCTTTTGGACCATGGGATAATTAAAGAGGAAGGTCTTAGGGCACATGTAATATCATCGATTTTTGCAGGTTTAGTAGCTTCGATTACAACATCACCAGTGGATTTGGTAAAAACAAGAATTATGAACCAACCAGTGGATGCTAATGGTAAGGGCTTGCTTTACTCATCATCTTTTGATTGCTTCAAAAAAACTTATAGAGCCGAGGGTTTTTTTGGTTTATATAAAGGGTTTTTGCCAAATTGGTTTAGAATTGGACCACATACTATTGTTGTAAGTATTTTATTCTTTCAGTTGTATTTTCTAAATAAAATATTAATTTATTTTCATTTATTTTTATAGACATTTATTGCATACGAATATTTAAGAAAGATTGGTGGAATTTCACCAGTTTAATTTATTAATAAACTAAAAAAAATCACATATTTTTTTTTTTTTTCAATCCAAATTTTATTTTTTAATTTTTCAATCATTTTTTAAACCAACAATAGATGTTTTTAATTGTTAGCAATACAGATTTAACAGATGAGAATGCAGGAATTCCTATATAAATATTAGTTTATTTTAAAAATTATACAATAAAACAAATAAATAAACAAACGAATTAATAATAATGATATAAATAAATAAATAATTAATAAAATTATACAGTCTTTATTTAATTTTTTTAATATGAAATCAAAATTTCCAAAGATTCTAAAACTTTAGATAATTTTAATTTTCTATAATTATTTTTAAATTCAGTGGTTATTATTTGAGTTATTTGATTGTTTATATTTCCACTATTATTATTTAAACCAATTAGATTTATAAAGGCATATTCAATTTTTCCTTTTGGGTAAAGTAAGGGTATTTGAAGATCTAAAATTAATTTTTTCATTGTTTGGGCATTTGAAATTTGTACTCTTAATTCTAAAAATTGAGTTTGTTGAATTGAATCACTACTATAGTCTACAACAAAGTTATTTGATTTAAAGGAGTATTTGGTTTTTGAGCTAAATGGTTGTGGGCTTTTATTAATGTTGTAAAGACTTTCCAATTGTTCAATTTCTTTTATTAAAGTATTTAATCTTGATGATCTGATTGAAATTTCTTGTGTAAATTCATTTATATCTTTAATTGTTTTTAAATTTTTAATTAATTTGTTTAAATTTATTTTATTATTTAATAAATTAACTTCAAACTGTGGGAAATAAAAAAAAATAATTATTAATCATCATTATATTGTAGTATTGTATAATAATAGCATTTATACTTACTTTTGAAAGATTTGAGAATAAAACCAAGTTTGAGGATTGAATTTCGTTATTTGATAAATTAAAATGAATTGAGAATTTTTTATTAAATTCTAAAAGTATTAGGTTATTGGTCATTTGGATGGGTATCCAGTTAAAAAATAAAGATAATTGGTTTGTATAGTCTTTAATTGCTTCTAATTGGTTTTTCTGTTCATTTAAATAGTTTTCTTTTTGCAATGGGTTTAATAGAGATAGTTGTTTACTGTTTAGTGAGGTGTTGTTATTTACATTGTTATTAAGCTGTTGTTGGTATTGTTCCTGTTTATTTTCTATTAGTCTCTTTTCAACTTCATTTAAATATTCCACATTTTCATAAATTGTTTTTATACTTCTTTCCATCCACTTTTTGCTTTCATTTAGAATGGTTTCGCTTCTTAATAGTTCGTCAATTGAGGATTTGATTTCTTGATGAGTTTTGATCTCTAATTGGTTTCTCCATTGATTGTATTCCAGCTGTGCCTTTTGTTTCGAAAATGATTTAATATTCTTTAAAAGTTTTTGTTTAACATAAAGTTCTTCGCTATTTAGTTGTATGTTTTGAAAGATTGGTGGATTTTTATTATTGATTTTCTCTTCTTCAATTTGGTTACTCTCTTTAATTTCAGCAATCATACGTTTTAAATCTTCATAGCCACGCTTCAAAACGATTAAATGACGTTGGTAATTGTAGACTGCGCTTATTCTCTTTTTTAATTCACTTGATTTTTCTTTGTTTGAATCATTATCTTCTTCGACAGATACGAATTGCATACCTATCATTGAGTCACGTCTTGATGCTTTATCATCTAAAAATTGACAATGTGCCAAAGAAAGAAACTCGTGAAGTGTAATCTTTTTAATTGGATTGCTAGAGGATGCCATTTGATACATTAGTTGATTGGCATTGTTATGGGCCCCTATTGCCCTTGATTTTTCAAGATCACCCAATTCTAAAGATGAAATTGGTTGGTGGTTATTAAATTGGCTTTCTTTAAATGATGAGTTATAGTCTGTACCAACTCTATTATAAATATCTTCTGAAATTTCACTTGTTTGATGATTGACATAATACTGAATATTATTTGTATTGTTGTTATTAAAATTATTGGTTATATTATTATGATTATTAAAATTGTTTGTTGTATTATTTTGGTTTACAGTTGTATTATTTATATTTAAATTATTTGTTGTATTATTGTTTTGATGCTGTTGTTGTTGACTCTTTTGTTGTTGGTTGGTTTTATTGTTTTCATTATCTTTTTGACTAAATTGTAATAAACTATCATTTGTCATGATTGATTTTTGTCTTTGTTCAAAATTAATTTTACCATAGTCATAACCAATATCACTTTCAATTAAAGATGGTGAGTGTGTATATTGTTTCTTTATAGTTGTTGATGGTTCTTGGATTTTAGTGATCATTGAGACACCAAAATTATTGGTAACTTGTGATTGGTTAAGTTGTTTTGTTAATTGTTGAGTGGTTTGGGATTGGTTATATTTTGATGTAATATTAATTTCCTCAGTTTTTTGTTGATAAATATCTGTTTGAATTTGGTTATTATTGTTACCATGAAGTATAATTGGTTGTGGATGAGATTGTTGCAATTGTGAGTTTTGTAAATTTTGTTGTTCTTGCTGAATAAAATTTGATAATAAATTTTTTTGCTCAAGTGTAATATTGGAGGCAGTTGATTCTAATAGTGAGTTGTCTTGACTTTCATTTGAGCTTGGATAATGGGATTCACTTGATTTAGCACTATTTACAATACTCATATCGTAGGTGGATTGATTAAGTTGTTGTTGTTGTTGTTGAGAAATAAATGGTGATTTACTAGATTGTGAAAATTTAGATGAGAGAATTGCTCCACCAAATGAATGTGTTAAAGACATGTCTGCTACATCTTGTTGTTGTTGATGTTGATTTTTATTTATTGTTGGTGGAGCTGGTGTGTTTGAATAGGGTCTACTTTGGCCAGCTGCAATCGAAAATCTACCAAGATTCATTGTCGTATTGTTATTATAGAGACTTTTTAAATTATGAGTAACATCGGCTTGAGCATTCCAAATTCTTTTTGTAAAATTCATAGTACTTGTATGATTACCGCCACCTGGTGTCATGGTGGATCTATTATCAAATCTAAATGTACCAGTATTATTCTGTTGATCTCTTGAGAATGATGACATTGGAACCATTGATTTTCTTGATAAAAATTTAAGATTACGAGTGGCAGTTGTATTTTCATAAAGATCTCTAAGATTATTGGTTACATTTGGATCGGCAAAATTATTCCAAATACCTTTACCGGTAGTATTTGAATGCTGTTGGCTATTTGGATCGTTATTTAATATAATTTTCCCAATGTTTTGAGTAATTGTCATATCTTTCATATCATTTAAAGTGTGATTGTACATTTCTAAAATTTTACCAAATGAACGAGTAATAGACATATCTTTTTGGTCATCTTCTTGTTGATAGATATTAATGCTACCCATATTTAAGTTTGGTGGTGTTGCTGAAGTTTGGGATAAAAGTTGTTGTTGTGATTGTAGTTGTTGTTCTTGTTCATTACCCATTGCTATAATTCTGTCCAATGCCAATGTCAGTGTCATATCCCTTTGTTCGACACTATAGGAGTCATTTTCATCTATATCGATTAGTTTCTTTAATCTACCACCCATACCCTCTGTAAAGTTATTAATATGAAATATATGTGATTTATCCATTGTATTACTAAATTGATTAGTTTGCTCTTCTTCACTATCTTCTTCACTTTCACTTCCACTTTCACTACTACTATCATCTTCGCCCATTGTGTTATTATTTACAAGATGTTCTTCTTCTTCCTCTTCTTTTTGCTCTTTTTCTTCTTGTTGAATGTCATAATCCTCATCATCTTTTAACAAACTATTTAATTTCGGTGTTGAAAAGCCTTTAATAATTTCATTAAGATTACCATTTGTGAGATCTTCATCTTCATCAGTTTTCTTTCTTAAATCGTGTAATGATGGAAGCGGAGAGTTTGGAAAAATATCAGATATTCTTGGTTTAGTTGGAGTTCTTTTCCTGGAATTACTAAGAGTACTATCATTGAGATCTTTGTTGGACTCTGGTATTATTGAAATTCTGCTTTTATATCCTGATGACTTAAAGTTATAGTCGGCCTCTTGGTCATAGTCACAAGATTCGTCTAAAAGATCCCCTAGAGTTGGTTTGACAATACCTAGTGCTGCTCCAATTGAAAAACGTGTTTTTTTATGAGTAGGTGATCTAATATCGCTTGAGTAAACATTTGAATATCTCGAAATATCCATATCATTAATTGATTTATTATCTTGGCCATCATCACTGCTTTCTTCATTGTCACTGATATTTTTATTTCTATTTATTATTGGTTGTTGTTCTGGGGATGTTTGATTGGTCACAATTGGTTGTTGTGTTGAGGTTGAAAACAATATATCAGCCTCTTCCAAAATCGACTTTAGTGATGGTGTTAAAAGGATTTGTGATTGGTTCATCAAACTTTCTCGATAGTGTTTAGCCATTTCGATATCATTTTCTGTTAATTCTAATGAGTCCATTTGGCCATCATCGTCTTCTTCCTGACCACTTTGATTAATATTACTATCGTCTTCGATATATTCACCTGATGAATCATGGCTTCCACCCCGAAGTGGCTGAATTTCATCTTTGAGATATGGAACAAAAATTTTGCCGTAGGTCTGTGTAAAATCCATTGTTTGTTGATCGAAATTTTGCTTTTGTTCTCTATCTTCTTCATCATCTCTGTCAAAAAAGAATCTTTCATCACTACCACTACTTGTACTGACATTAACATTGCTTAAACTACTAAGACTACTTAAGTTACTTAGACCACCAATACTTTCATTTGTTTTATCTTTATCAAAATTATTTACATTACTATTATTTTGTTTTTCTTTTTCTTTTTGCTCTTGCTTTTGTTGTTTCTTTTGTTGTTTTTTTTGTTGTTTATTTTCGCTATTATTTTCATCAATTTTACTATTATTTATATTATTGTTATTATTATTATTATTATTATTATTATTATTATTATTATTATTATTATTATTATTATTATTATTATTATCGTTACTATTATCTATTTCTTCTTGTTGTGGGAGCTGTAATGGTGGTTTGACACTTAATCTTCTACTTGGTTTTGGATTTGTTTTTTCGAATAATCTAACTTCGACTGTACTTGCAAAACTAACTCTGCCCATTGACATTCTAACATTTTTTCTTTTTCTAATAAATAAAATGTTTTATATAAGTTAATATCTATCCATAAAATAATAATTGAGTGATACTTTTATGTATATATACCTTTCAGTACTAGGTTCCATTATTGAATCTATATTAATTGTATTGTTTGTATTTACATTATCACTATTTTCATTTATATTATTATTATTATCTTTCATTACTTTTGATATATAATCTAAATTTTCGGTTTGGTTATAATTTTTATTTCTTAATGATGTGGCTGCAATGGAATACCTTTGTTGATTAAAAGGTATTTTATTATTATCATTTTTATTATTACTGTTATTATTATTATTAATGTTTGTTGATTGTTTTGATACACTAGAAAATAAATTATTACTCATTCTTTTATTTTTATTATTGTTTATATGTACATATATAATTATTTATTTCCAGACAGTGTTATTATATTTATTAAAGCGAAAAAAAAATAAAAATAAAAATTTGGAATTAAAAAAAAAAAATTTTAAAAAAAGGGGGAAATTTTTTTGGCGCAAAGTTATAAAAAAAATTAAAGAAAAATATTTCTACATTCATATTCAAATGAGGAAAAACAAAAAATAGATTACCTAATAAAGAATGTGACAAAAAAAAAAAATAAAAAAAAAATTTTATATTTTTTTAAATTTAGAGAAATAAAAAAATTTTATTTAGATTATCTTTTATTCATCATCTTCTTCCTCTTCTTCTTTTTCTTCTTCTTCCTCTTTCTTATTGAGCAGTTGTAGACGAGATATTTTATCATCAACAATTTTTACGGTAAAATTCTTCCCAATAATTTCGATATCAGATTCATCTTCTGGGATCAAAATAAACAAAATATAATGATAGATACTTGGAATTTGATCTAACTTGGCATCTTTGAAATAATCAATGGCCATCTTTGTAAATTGTTTCATTGTTATCTCTACTATTTTTTTACATTTTCTTTTTACAAAGTTCTGTACAGCCCTTTTCTGTGTTTGGGAAATTTTCAAGGTCATTACAAAAATCTTTGAAATATCTCAATTTAAATTTTCCTTTACAGTCTCTTATATGATATTTACTATGTATACACATTTTAATATGGTTGTATTATTTAAAAAAAAAAAAAAAAAATATAAAAAATTAAACTGAAAAAAATAATAAAAACAAATAAAAATAATTTTAAAAAAAGAGGTAATTTTTTTAAGTGAATACGCTAACGATAATTGGTGAAAACTGAGAATAACAATAATTTTTAATCACTAAAAAAACTATATAAATAAACATATTTTTTATTTTTTTTATTTTATCAACAATTTTAATAAAAATGGATCATTGGCATTGCAATTTATTTAAAGCATTTTTTATTTTTAATTTATTTTTTATTTTTTTAATTTATTTTTCTCAAATTTTTTTAATTATTATTTACTATTAAAAATTTTATTTTTTTAAAGAAATTGAAATCAAAAATTTTTTTTTTCAATTTTTTTTAATTTTATTTAATAAAAACACAACATATAAAAATTTTCAATCACACCATATAAAAATTTTCAATAACTTTTATTTTATAAAAATGGCTGAAAACTTATGGGATTATAATTTTAATGGTGGTTCTCATGAATTTGTAGGCATGGATCTTTCCGCTTGTGATGGTTTTTTTGTCTCCTGTTTTTTTAGAAAAGGAAACACACATGCTAATGATGTTTATGATCAAATTATTGTAACAAACGATAATGGCCCACTCCAAAACGATCATGTAATATCACTTGCAGTCGCAGCTCTGGCTTTTTCCATGTTTGTTCATGATAATCAAAATATTCCAATAGGAGAGTAAGTTTGTTTTCAATATAAAAAAATTCGCAATACTAATTTTTTTATTTCAAAATAGAGTGTGTAAAATTGGTAAAATAATTAAAAAGAAATTGAATAATCAAAAAAATCTATACCGAGTACCAAAAAGTATTAATTCTGATAAAGAAAACCAAGAATTATCAGAAGATTCAATAGATTATTTAAAATATCCTAAAACTCGAGAAAAGATTCAAGCCACTATTAATTCTTTGAATAATGCACTCTCAGATAACGACTATGGTGCAATATTTTTTGAAAAATTTTTAGCAGGAGTTAATCATTTTTATGTAAATAAAGTATATACCAAACCAAAGAAACACTATTTTAAAGCCCAATAGTATCAAAATAAAAATAAAATTACTCCTTATAGGAGTATGTTTAAACAATAAAAATTGTTTATAATAATTTATTTACATTTTTATTTTTTTTATATAATTTTTTTATTTAAATATTGTGTTTTATCTAATTTCTTTTATTATATTTCTTGGTATACACTTTAAAATATCATATTGTTCAAAATTTGAAAAAATAATTCTTTGTAAAGTTTCTGGTAAACAACCATTAGGTAAAGTAGCAGTAAGGATCTACTTCACATGGAATATTATTGTTTACCCGTAATCTTTTAATTTCACTATCAATGGTTATATTTTTAATTGTCCATGGTTAATTACCACCATTTTCGTAAAAATCAAACTTTTCACTTAAATAGAGATCGATTACAGATTCTGGAATATCTTCAATTTTTTTAATGGCAGGTCAAATCTTTTTTGAAAGATTATTCATTTTTTATAATTTTTTATTTTGGATATTTTAATTGAAAATTTCAATATTTTGTTAAACCATCTCTATTTTTAATTATTTCAATAGTTTTTTTTGGGGATTGTTTGATATAAATCAATCATAGTTTCTTGTTAAATACCATACATATTTTCCTCAATTAAATCGTTAAAATCCACTTGAGAATTCTCTATAAGCTAATGAATTGAAAGTTTTTATAAAACTTGCAATTAGTTTTCAATAATTTTGGGGTCTATAGAGTATTTTTGGATCAATATGACATCAAATTCTTTGTTTTTGTTAAATTTTAAATAATTTACAAAATTATTAATTGGACAGCTATCTTGTAAAACATTAATATCTAAACATTAACACAATATTCGCTAAGGTTAAGACCATACCTATCATTCAGTACGATAAAATATGTCATCTATTTGTATTAACATAAATAAATGGTACTGGACCTACACCTCTCATTGAAGCAAAATTACATGCATTCACTGAAACTCAACTCATATATTTCTTAAAACATTTGATGTATAATAACCATCACTTTAAATCATCTTATTTGTTTAAAATATATGATGGGTGATATACTACCAAAAAAAAATAAAAATAAATAATTATATTAATTATATTACATTTCATGATTTGAATACTAATATTGATAAAAAAACATGACAAATTTTTGTGATGATCATTTATTTATTAATTTTTTTCTTTGATAATCAGTATCTCAATGAATAATTATTATTTTGAAGAAAATTTATGTCTTTGAGACACATATCCAGAATATGATAGAGATACTAAATGCCAAAATTTTCAAAATTAATTAAATTAATCGATATTTATTAAAATTATGATCTTTAAAAAAATTTAAATAAAAAAGAGTTTATTTTACATATTAATTAATTAATACTACTTTAAAAACAAATTAATTAACTACTAATTTTAAAGTTTATAGTTATTATTTAACCAATCTAATAAATCAAAACTATATGAATTAAACCAATTAGTATTATATTTGATATTTTCTGAATCTGATTGAATTGAACTTTCTGCCATGGGTACAGGGTTATCATTAAAGAAAGATTTGATTTGATTTAATTGGGTTTCATTTATTTTATTACAGAATAAAGTGGTGGTCAATTTTGGGTACATCATATTATCTTTAAAGAGTGAGTCTATATGAGAGAAATTTTCAACAAAGAAATTGAATGTGTGTATCTTGAATTCTGGTTTGTAAGTGTTCCAAAGAAAATAAATATTGTTGGTTTCCACCGCTGAAGAATTTAATGAAAACAATAGCATATTATTAAACAATTCCAAAGTTGGTGCGCTGTATGATAATATTTCGAGATATATTTTCTTTTCCGCAATGTCTGTAGTTGATAAATATAGGGCAATGATTTCATCTTGCTGAGTTTTGTTACCAGTATTTAAGATACTTGTAAACACTACTTTGGAAATATCAGGATTTAATGTTTTGTGATCTTGTTTGAAGTGTTCATATCTTTGTTTTGCTTCATTGATAATTGGTTCATAACCCAATAAAACTAATTTGGTATTTACTGTAGTACGCAAAATGGTAATTGCTGCATCTTCGTTTTCTTTTGGATCAAATCCCAATGAATCTGATAAACCAGCTAAAAGATCTGTGAATGCATTGTTAAATCTTTGTTTATAATCTTGATTAAAGATAATATTTTGAATCTCCTCTACTGATCTGATAAGGTAGGTCCATACATCACCGTTGCTTTCATTTGATTTGTATGCACCAAATACCAAATCCATAAAGAGTGAAGTTTGTGTCGATAAGGCTTTGGCTGAATTGAACACATCTGATAGTACACCTAGTCTATCCACGGCAGGTAATTCTAGTGATTTAATCTTTGGTACCAATGGTAGTAACAAATGTTCGCTGTACTCTATACGATAAAATTGGGATTGGCCATAGTTTGGTTTTATCCAATCGCCTGCACTAAAATTGAATGGGTGTGGAACTGTAATCACATCAGACTCTTTGTTTAAAAGAAAATCAAACTCCCCATACTCTGTTTGGAATTTAATGAAGCAATTCCAGATTACACTTGATTTGTTGGTAGAGGTTGCACTATCAAAAGTAAATCTTTTTTGACTGATTTGGAATGTATTTGTATTTCCATTTGGGACAATTGAAATAATTGGATAACCTGGATAGACAATATAATTATTTACAAATTCACTTACATTTAAACCATTTGAAAACAACGAGAATGAATGCCATAGATTTTGAGTTACAGTGTTTTGATAAGAGTATTTCTTTAAATAGTAACGTAATGCATTTCTAAAGTTATCTGGACCCAAAAGATTTTGAATCATTTTTACAATACTAGCACCTTTATCATAACTAATATCATCAAATATCTCTGCGATTTGTGAAGTTGTACGAACTGTTAATTGTACTGGATGGGTACTCGACAAAGAGTCTAGATACAAAGCCTTATTATAAATATTTTGTGAAAACTCTAACCATACATTCCATTCAGGATACAAGGAAGCACTAGCAAAGTAACCAAAGAATTCTGCAAAACCTTCGTTCAACCAGATCATTGACCACCACTCCATTGTTACCAAATTACCAAACCATTGGTGCGAAATCTCGTGAGCAATCATATCTACAAGCTCTTTGTTGTTTACCAAGGTTGCTTTGTCTGATGTCAATAAGTAAATATCTTCAAAAGTCAACAACCCCATATTTTCCATGGCATAGAATGTGAAATCTGGAATGGCAACCAACTTTAGATCTTTTAATGGGTAGGAAATATTAAAGTAATCTACAAAAAAGTCCAAGGTTTTAATTGCGATTTGTAATGCCAATTCGCTGCTTTCCTTGACACCTTTACCCTTGTAAACACGTACCCTTGTCTTGTCTATACTGCTGTAGCCTTCGTTATATTCAATATCGCCTATTACAAACGCCACTAAATAAGTACTCATTTTTGGTGTTGGTTTAAATCTAAAATGTGACAAAAAATGTAAAAAACCTATTAGTTTTATGATACATATAAATGACGCCTATAAATTTGTAATACCTACTCTATTGCTCTAGATTTATCCCTTTTATTTTCTGTAACTTTTTTTTCTGCAGTATTTGAAATTGCTTGTAAATCTTTATCTATGGTCAACTTTAAATTGAATATAGCTTTATAAGAAGGCTCGTCAAAAGATGGGAAAACTCGTCTTACATCAGAAGCCTCCATTTGGGTAGAGTAAATTAAATGCTCAATGCCATCAACTAAATACTTGGATCTATAGAAACCTCTACCTTTGTCATTTATCTTACCTCTGAACCTAATTTTTAATGTTGCATTTCTAGACACTGGCAACTCTTTCTTAAATTTGAAAACTGCAACCTCTTCATCCACACTATATTTAATTTCCTTTGCTTTATTATTTAATATTTCAGCCGATTCGATTTCGATTTCACTACTATGGATCACAATGGTATCTGTCTTCTTTACAATATCTAATAAGATATCTTCTTCACCTTTATATTTGAAACTTTTGATATTCTTTGTATTTAAATGGACATTATATACCCTTGGGACAACATTACCTGGTAATACTAATCTATCTACTTTATCAATTAAATATAATTCTGAAAATATAAAATTAAAAAAAAATAATAATTTTTATTATTCTTTGTGCTATCGATAAAACTAATTTATTTAAATTTGTATCAAGCATTAAAAAGGATAATTTTTTACCATTTATTGGAACTTTGGAAGGTTTTTTTGCAGAAGCCAATACAATAAAAATATAAAAAAATATAAAAAAAATGTTAGTTTGCCACTTCATTCTATTTATTTATTTTTTTGATCATATTTTTTTTTTAAATATATTTATATGGAAAAAAAAATAAAAAGTAAAAAAAAAAAATGAATTCATTAATTATTTTTTTTTTTTTTAATTTTTTTTTTATACACCACTATTTTTTATTATCTGATTAATATTTAATATATAAAAATTATATTTAATATATAATTTTTATATATTAAAATATTTTATATATTAAAAATAATAATTTATTTATATTTTAAATAGATAACTGCTACCCAATTATAATTAATATTTTTTCTTTAAATTTATAAAAAGTTAATCCACGTAAGAATTTCACCTTACAACCATCTCATCCCTGAGATAGACGATCATCAATGTATAATAGAAATGATAGAATCAAAACTATTACACGGCTTCCCGCTTATGTAAAGTGAATGTGCATCTTCATCCGTGGGGTTTTTGAGAAAAATTATTGATGAATAATTTTAATAGACGATACTAATAGAAATGATCCAAAGAGTAAGGTCTGATTTGTTAAGAGTAATATTTTTGTTTATAAAATTATTGGGCAAAAATTAATAATTTATGGGTTTTTTTCGTTATTTTAAAAATAAAGTTTTTTTTTTTTTTTTTGAAATTTTTTATTGTTTTTCGTAAATTAAAAATTTTTTGTTGTTTTTCATAAATTAAAAATTTTTGATATTAATTTGCTCTGTAATTTATAAGAAAATTTGAAAACAATTTATACCATAAGATTCTCTTTAACATTGAGATGGCACATTCAAAATATAGGATTTAAAAAAAAAAGATATAATCAAAAAAAGTTTTCCCAAATTTGGTATAATAAAAAAAAAACCAACAAATTTTTTATAAAAATTATTATTATAAAAGAGATATGAGAAAAAAAAAACAAATTTAACCGCTTTTACATAAAAAAAAAATTATAATTTTTAAATCATTACACATAAAAATAATTTTTTTATTTTAATTTACATTACACATAAAAATAAAATGGAGAATAAATATCATCCATATTCAAAAGGATTAAAATATAATATCAATAATAATAATAATAATGATATATTACCATTGCCACCAATAGTGTCATATAATGAAATCTTATTTTTTAAAATAATACGGAATAGACTCATCTTCAAATATATTTTATCATTTATTTGGGAAAAATCTGCGTTGAATATGGATTTGCTCCCTATGGCAGATGAAAAAAGATACTCAATTATTTTAAACAAGTTAAAATCAAATACACCTATGATAGTTAATGAAGAAAGTATAGATGAACTATGTGAAAACTACATTTACAATCCATATTTTGAAGAAATATTTGATTTATTATGGAAACAATATGGGGATAAATTAAAAAGATTTAATATTTTAGAATCAATAGTGGGACAACAAAACCGACACTATTCATTAAATTTATTTAAATTTGTATATAAATATTTTAATAATAACAATCAAACACATAAATTATTCACTTTATTAGATTTATGTTTAGAGTGTGAAAAACCAAATTATAAAATTTTAAAACATATTATTCACACTTTAAAAAACGATCTCATTAGTAGAATTAGAGATTATAAAGTTCCCATTTTTACATTATTCAATGTAAATGGTTTTCTAAGTGATACAAAAAAGAAAATCGATCTATTTAAAGAATGTTTAAATATTGATATAAAAAAAGAAATAAAGGAATTATTTGAAATAGAAGGTTTCAGTTTATCCTCAGGCAAGCAAAGGGATAATAGAAAGAATGAAATTAAAACAGTCATTAACGACAGTTATCTAATAGATGAAGATGCATTAGAATTTAGTTAAAAAAGGTTTTTACTATCCAATTTTTAAACCAGGAAATTTTATTTTTTTTAATCACTTCAATTTTTTATTATTATATTTATTAAGACAAGACATTGACAAAACTTTCAGAATGAATATACTAAATAATTTAGAGTCGGTTAATAACAATACCAGTTTGCTTTTATCAGTCGCAAAAGAATATCTAATTCAAAATGGTCAAGAATACGAAATTTTAGAATACCTAAGGTTCTATATTGTTTATGAATTACTTCAACAAAGGGATTTTGACGAACTCGATGGATACATAAAAAAACATATTTATACAAATTCAATATATGATATAGAGCTATTGATTAATTTTATTTTTCAATACTCGGTTGTACATTTTTCAATTGAAACACTCGACTATTATATGCAATTCATAGATCAATTAGATACAAAAGAATTTCATGATTATTTTTTACAGTGTCCAATCCAACACCATTATTATGAAAAAGAAAAATTAAATCAAACAAACCAATCAAATATAATATTATTTTTAGAATATTTAATTTCAACATTTAACAATGGAGGAACGAATAATATTTATTTAAAAGCAGCTTTTTCTTTAATAGTAAAACATTTTAAAGGTGAAATACTAGAGTTTATTTTAAACTCATTTAGAGGTAATGGGGTTATTAAAGAAGTTTATTTAGATTTGTTATCGAGCTATACCAATTTGTCGATATTAGATCACTTTGCATCAGCTGGAGACGATAATATGGAATTAGATTTCAAGAAAATGAAAATCTTTATCGATCACTTTGATATGGTTGAAGATATGGCCGTTAATGAAGATTTCAAAATTGAAATTTCAAATAAACATTGTGGTAAATTTTTAAATTTTTATTTTCAATATGCCTATGGAAAACTCTTTAAAGAATTTGATAGTTTTATTGTTGATTGTCTTATAAGATCAAGATACTCAAGTATTAAAGAGTCAATAGATATATATAATTCAATCGATAAAAATAATCTTTTAGTGTATTCAGAGAAATCACATATTCATTCAACAATATTATTAGAAAATTTATTAAAATCAATTAAATTACAAGACATCAATTCAATTAATAAAATATTAACAGCAGTTAATAAATATAATAATAATTACAACAATAATCATAATAATAGTCATAATAATGTTATTAAAATACCAGACTCATTTAATAACTCATTAGAAATTATCAACTATTTAAGTTTAAAAGGATATTTAAACCACTTTAAATTAAAATATATCTTAGATTGGATTGATCGACATATAAATAATGTACCTAAAGAATTTATCTTTAATTTAATACCCTCTAACAAAACTAAGCTAATTAACTATTATAATGAAAAATATTATAATATAATCACAATTAAATATCATATTGATCAATCAGCAGGTTTAGATAATATTTGTGACCCTTCAGATAAAATATATTATAATGAAATTGCAAATGTTCAAAATAGTAAAAATGCAATCAACGCTTTATATAATTGTTTTTATGAATCAGCATATAACTATATAAATAATAATTTAGATAAATTTGCAGAAGATTTTAAAAGCTTAAGTAAAGAAAATGATTATCTTTATAGAGTTTTCAAGTCCACATTAATCTTTGCACCTTACCAATGGGTTATCAAATTCGATCCAATATATAAACAAATTATGAAAAAAAGTATATTTCTGGACTATATATTTAATAACTCAAACTATAAAGAAATCGAGCATTTATGGAACCATCGAATCGAGGATAGAGATATATTACTAGATTATCTATTTGGAATAAGTTATTTGGATCAAAAAGACCCCAGCGACTTTTATGAAAAAATCCCATTAATAGAATACCTTTTTGACAAAAAGAAAGAATTTTTGATAGATTATTTTAAAAACCATAAAGTAATATTCAGCGAAAAACAATTGTTATACAAGTTTATTATTTTTGGTAATATTAAGATATTCAATCAACTAAAATCAATACTTATCACTATAAATCAAGATTTAGAAATTTCTCTGGATATTCCTTTTATATTAAAATTTTGTGAATTAGAATACAACTATTTGTGTGAAATACTGGAATTTCTTCACACAAACCAATTACTATCAAAAAAAAGTATATTTTTAGAAAATTATAATTTTATTGATCGTTATTTAATGGTGCCATTCGATGATAAAAATCACTATGGAACTGGGGAATTTTTTTTAGTATGCAAATCTGTTGTTGCTCTTATAAATACTTTAAACCTATAGAAGATAAAAAGAATTATACAAAAAAAAAAAAAATTAATAAAAATATAAATATAAATAAAAATAAAAATAAAAATAAAAATAAAAATAAAAATAAAATTCGAGTATTTATTATTGTTAAAATAAAAGTAATAAAATTAAATTATATGGCAAATATTTATTTAGAACTTTTTTTTAAATTGTATTGGACCTAGATCTAATAGATATAATCCAAAGAGTAAGTAATATAATAGCAATCAAATACATAAATTATTCACTTTTTTAGACTTATGTTTAGAAAAATGTTATTTATTTATCACTAAAAAGTACATAGGGAAATTTAAATTAATATTTTTGGGTAATAAAATTTGAAATCTATTTACAAAGATTTATATAATCTAATGGTATTTTTAATATTATTATTTTTAATTGTTTATATTGTAAAATTTTAAATATTTTTTGATAATTGAACAGGTTTGGCATCATCTGAGGGTTGATTATCAATTGGAATTACAACAGAGTTTGAATTTGGATAGCTATAGTATGGTTGATTTATATTTTGAGGTTGTTGACCATTATTTCCATTACCTAGTTGTAAACCTGTGCCAGGATAAACATATTGCTGTTGTGGTTGAGTCGAGTAATAATAGTTCATTGGAATGTATTGGGTTTGTTGTTGCTGCTGTTGTTGCTGATCATTTTGATTTGGATAAGCATTGGGATGAGGTATTGGTTGTTGTAATGTTGCATTGTTTGGTATTGTTAATTCACACCATAACTTTTGTCTATTTTTGTTCTTTCTATTTCTAAAATCAACATATTTTAATGTCCAACTAATGCCAAATTCATTATTATATTCAGTGTGACACTTTTGTACTGCATAAGCTAAGTTTTTAATATACTAGATACAGGTATTAAGGTAGTTAGTATATGGGTTATTGCAATTGAATTATAAAGACTGTCAATAATTACCTTTGATCTAAATGTTGCTAATGCAATAAAAATATAAATAAAAGAGATACCTAAAATGATAATACCAATATACCAATAAATTGGAGTTGTTGTTTCGGTTTTTTTAGTTTCACCAACACCAACCATTACCACACCGATAATAATTGAGGGTAGAAATGAAATTACTTGGCCAATATAAGTATATTTTGAAACATTTTCTAAATATCTAATTGTTTTTTGGTATCTTTCCTCTGAAATATATGGTCTAAGCTCTATTGGCATATCTCTTTGAAACCTTCTACCAATATATCCAATTCTTTTAGATTTGATTACAACTTGGTAGGGTGATGAGACTGGGTAAACGAATTTTTGGTTTTGCATTTTCTAATATATTGCTACAACTATAGTATATGCAATGTATTTTATATGCAAATAAAAATATTTTTGAAAAAAAAAAATATAGTTTTATATATAGCTAAAATAAAAAATCACAAAATTATTTTTATTATTATTTTTTTTAAAATAGTATCTATTTATTATTTAGTGAATATAAAATTTTTTCTTTTTCCTTTTTTTTTTTTTATTTTAAAATATTAATTATAATAAAATAAAAAAATTTAATAAATAAATAAATATTATATATGTGTTAAATGTGTGTGTGTTGTGTGGTTGTTATTGTTAAGAATTACTTGTATTTTTATTATATGTATAGAGTGAATAAATAAATGAAAAAAAAAAAGAAAGAAACAATAATAAATAGTAATAAATGATTTGTGTTTTTATTTATTCTTTATTATTATAAAATATATTTTATATGGTTGTTAATTAAATTGTGATTGTTTATAAACCAATTTCTATTATTATGTAATAAAATAATTAATTTTTTTAAAATTTATAGAGTTGTATTGTATAATAATCATAAAGTAAATAAATGGAATATTAAAATTAAATTTATTATTTAAAATAAATTAAATTTTAAATGGTTTTTTTTTTTTTTCTAAAAATATTTATATATTATATATATTTATACTTTTTATAAAAAAAAATAAAAAATATAAATGTATTTAATGTGTGTATATAGGAGCGTATTTGTATATATTTTAATTTATTTGTGTCTGAAAATTCTTTTGGTGGGGTGTGTATAAAGTGGGTATATTTGTATGATTTGTTATGATTGGGTGTGAATGTGTGTATTTGAAATAAAAAACAAATAGATATATAAAGAATTTGTTTATTTAATGATTGCAGAGAAGGTTACACAAATGATGAAAGAAAAAAAAAAAAAAGTGATGTGTAATGATTAAAATTTTCTTTTTTTTCAAGAAAAAAGAGGAATCACTTATAATATAAAAGTAAAAAACAAAAAAGATTATATATAGAATTAGGTTATTAAATTCATTATTAATACAACCAAATGAAAAAGTAAAATTCAATATATAACCTTGTCTTTTTTTTTTTTTTTTTTTTTTATAAAAACTATTTTTCAAATATTTTTTTTTTTTATTTTTTTTTTTTTTTTTTTTTTTTTTATTTATTTTTAAATTTTTATTTTTTTCAAACACTATTGTTGTTTTAGTTTGCGTCAGGATATCCCCTTACATGGACTAACTTTTTTTTTTTTTTTTTTGAAATAAATCAGATACAAAAAAAAAAAAAGTAAAGTATCAGAAAATTTAAAAGAATATAACCACAATATTTTTTTTAAAAATAACCTTTTTATTTAAATAATAAATAATTATTATTTATTAAATTTATTAAAATAAAAATAAATAAAAATAAAAAAATAATAAAATTTAATTTAATTTTTTTTGTTTATCAAATGAGTATTTAAAGATTTCAAATCGAAAATAAAAATGATATTTGCAAATTTATTAGAATATACATTTGAAAATAATGATAATGTATATCTTATTTGTAATTTTTTATTATTATTATTATTTTTTTTTTTTAATGTTTTGAATTTAATTTTGAATATTCATCAATGATTGTAATTAATTGATCGATTTCTGGATAGGTAACAGTTAAAGGTGGGCAAAGACGTACTACATCTTCACCAGCTGAAATTAATAAAACTTTTCTATCAAGTGCAAATTGAACAAGTTTGGAGGCTGGATGGGTAAGCTTGATACCAATGAAAAGACCACCAACAGTTCTAATTTCACTAATAACACCTGGATATTTGCTTTTAATGTCTTCAAGTTTATCGGTAATGTATTTGCCTTTTTCTCTAACTTCTTCGAGGAACTTCTTTTTGGCGATTTTATTGAATGTATAGTTTGCAGCAGCACAAACAAGTGGACCACCACCGAATGTTGTACCATGATCACCTGGTTTGATGGCAGCAGCAATGGTATCATTGACTAAAACAGCACCAATTGGGAGACCACCAGCTAATGGTTTGGCTAATGTCATAATATCTGGTTTAAAGTGTTTAGCGAATCTAGAATGGGCCCAAAGTTGACCAGTTCTACCAATACCACATTGGACTTCATCTACAATCATGACTACATCGTTCTTTTTGCAGAGTTTGTAAAGATGTTTCATAAATTCTGGAGTGGCAGCTTCTAAACCACCCTCACCTTGAACTGGTTCAATAATGATGGCACAGGTATTTTTGTTGATGATTTGTTGAATGCTATCGATATCATTATACTTGGCAAAGTGAACACCTGGTACTAATGGACCATAGATTTCTCTGTATTTTGCTTTGTGAGTAACAGAGAGAGAGCCCATTGAACGACCAGAGAAACCGTTGGTGAATGCTACAATTTCGGTTTTATTTGGATCTTTAGAGAGACCAATTTTCTTGGCGAATTTTAATGCGGCTTCATTTGCTTCGGTACCAGTATTGGCAAAGAAAACTTTATCAAAGAATTGAGAGTTATCGATTAATGATTTTGCTAATTCGATAGCTGGCTCGTTATAATATAAATTTGAAAGATGAGTTAATTTGCCGACTTGTTTTTTAATAGATCTGACCCATCCATCATTACTGTGCCCTAATGCATTGACTGCGATACCTGCGCCAAAATCTAAATATTTATCGTTCTTCATATCTGTTAACCAACTGTCTTTGCCTTCTTTGAAAATAATGTTTGGGACTCTTCCGTAAGTGTTCATGATAACATTGTCATGAACTTTAATCCAATCTTCTGGGTTATTATTGTTTTTTAATTTAATTTTTTTAATTTCATTGTAGTTGTTTGTTGAATAATAACTTTTAATTAAATTATTATTGACTTTAATATTTGTTGGGATGACCTTTCTAAACATTACTATTATTATTTGTTAACAAATATATGATTGTGTAAAAAAATTTTAAATTTAAAAAATTATCTAAATAAAAAAATAAAATAATTTAAAATTTTAAATTTTTTGAAAAAAAAAAAAAAAAATTAGATAATTGAGCATGCAACAAAAAAAAAAAAAAAAAAAAAAAAAAAAATTGTTGAAAAAAAAAAAAAAGGAAAAAAAAGGAAAAAAAATTTTTTTTATTATTTTTTTTTTAAAAAGGGGCCAAAAACGGTTTTTTTTAATTTTTTAATTTTGGTAAAAAAATTTCAAATTTAAAAAACCTTTTTTTTTTTTTTTTTTTTTTTTTTTTTTTTTTTATAAGAAAATAAATATATTAGCTTTATAAATATAAATAAAATATTATTATAACATACATAATAAAGATAATAATAAATTATTACAGATAAAATTAAATTATATTTTATTTTTATTAAAATTTTTTTTTTTTTTTTTTTTTTATTTTTAAAATTTTTTTTAATTTTGAAAATTTCATAAATTGTATAAAATGAATAGTCAAAAAAGAGATAGAGAACAAATAGAGGACAATGAAATAGTAAGTAAAATATAGTTTTGGTAGATATAGTTAGATATAGATTTATTTTCTAATATTAATTTATTTAATACAGATTACCAAAAAATTAGATACCGAAGAAAAAGAATTTAAACCCCCACCACTTTTAAGTAAACATAATAATAACGATAACGAAAATGATAATAGGTCAAATAATATTAATAAAATAGGTTCCTTTTCAATATCTAAACCCTCAGCAAAAACTTTAGCAAAACCATCTGGTATATCATTTAGTTTTGGTAAAAACTCACCCACAGTAGATAATAATAATGATATACCAAAACAACAAATAAACATAACGTATATGAATAATCCAGAAGAAGATGAAAAAAAAGAAATAGAAAAAAAAGAAAAAGAACAAAAAGAACAAAAAGAAAAGGAACAAAAAGAAAAGGAAAATAAAGAGATAAATAATAATAATAATAATAATAATAATAATATCAATGATAATATAAAACCTACAGGACCTATAAAATCAAATAATAGTCATAGTATTGTTGGTCCGCCAAGACCTGTGGGTCCGGTTAGACCATCAGCAAATAAAGACGATACATCCGAATCTGATGATTCGAGCAGTGAGGATGAAAATAATAGCAATAATAATAGTAATATAGTTGGACCACCAAGACCGGTTGGACCACCAAGACCATCAGCTAATAAAGATTCTTCAGATTCAGATTCAGATTCAGATTCAGATTCAGATTCAGATTCAGATTCAGATTCAGACTCAGATTCAGATAGTGACAGTGATTCATCAGATGAAGAAAAAGAAGAAATTGAAAGATGGAAACAATTGGTTGGATCATTACCCATTTCACATGAAGTTGTTATCAAAGGGCATCACAGACCAGTTTCAGCAATTACATTAGACCCAAATGGTGGTAGAATGTTAACAGGTTCATATGATGGTAAAGTGAAGTTTTGGGATTTTAACGGAATGGATCAATCATTACGTTCATTTAGAGAGATTGAACCAGTTGAGGGTAATCAAGTAAGAGCAGCTCATTTTAATAACACAGGTGATCAATTTATGGTTGTACCATATACAACTCAAATTAGATTCTATGATCGTGATGGCCATTTCAAGGAAGAGTCGATTAGTGGTGATAGATTCATTCAAGATTTGTATCATACTAAAGGTCATGTTTCAACCTTAACTGGCTCATGTTGGCATCCAAGCGAGAAAGAAGAAATGATTTCATCCTCAATTGATGGAACGATTAGGGTATGGGATATAAACTCTGTCACAACTAAAAACAAAAATGTAATTAAATCAAGAACATCAAGGGGTACAAGAATTGGTGTAACAAGTTGTGTCTATGATCAGCGTGGTGATATAATTACAGGTGGTTTGGCTGATGGCTCTATTTCAATGTGGGATAAAAGATCAAGCTTATTAAAACCAAAGTCGCAGTGGGCTGATGCACATTTGCCTGGTCACGAGGTTGTATCGATTCAATACAACAGAGATTGCTTTTCAATGATTTCAAGATCAATGGACCATAGTTTAAAAGTTTGGGATCTCAGAAACACCGCTGCACCAACCGCAGTTTGGGACGATCTTCAATGCGACTATTTAGAAACAAACTGTATTTTTGGTTCATTCGACCGTGTAATTGTAACAGGTACAAGCTCAGCCAAAGGTGGTTTTGGTACAATTGTAATGTACGATTTAACAAGTTTAACAAAAATGAGACAAATCAGAGTAGATACAGACGTCAGCGTTATAAACTGCAACTGGAATGAAAAGTTGAACCAAGTTTTCTTTGGTTGTTCCGATGGAAATACCAGAGGTTTCTACGATCCATCACTCAGCAACAATGGTCTTAAATTATGTGCCAACAAAATTAAAAGAGTTAAAAATATTTCAGACTACGAACCTATCGACAGACCAATCATCACACCTAATTCTCTTCCATTATTTAGAACCAACAATCCTAAAAAAGATAAATCAAAGAAAAGCAAACCTGAACAACAAGCCGAAAAAACCTCTGCCAAAGGTCCAAACCTTACTCAACATTTAATTAAAAACACAGGCTTAACAAACAATACCTCATGGAAAGAGGATGCAAGAGATTCCTTCATCAGGGTTGCAAAAGATATTGAAGAAGAAAAGGAAAAGAAAAGACAACAAGAACTTCAACAAAATAAAAAATAACTTTAATTCATTTTCCCCTTACCCACAATTTTTTTTTTTTAAATAATAATATACATAATTATAATAGTAAATAATAATGATCACATCCTTAAGAAATAACATCATGATTCAAATAATATTAATTTTAAGTTTTTTGCCCATTTAATTTAATATTTTTTAAGTTATTTTTTTTTTCTTTTTAAAAAAAAAAAAAAAAAAAAACTCTTTCAAATAAAATGTTGTATCTAAAATTAGACAATAACGAATATTCAAATATTTTTTATTATTATTTTTTTATTTTTAAAAAAATTTCCATTGACCAGGCTATTTATTTTGATTTAATTTTTTTTATTTGAAATGTAAAGCGAAAATACTGTATAATTCCTAGTATAAATAGAAACGATACATAAAAATTTTAGAGGAATTTTAAAAATATTTTTTTTTACATAGGTTGGTAAATTTTGTGTAAAAAATTTTTGAGATTAAATTTTTTTATATATTTTGAATTTTTTTTTTAAAATTTTTTTTTTTATTTCCAAAATTTTTTTTTTTTTTTATTTTTTTTAATTTAACAAAATTTTTCAAAAGATGATTGAAGACAAAAATGATTTGGATGTCACATCAAAAGGAAGCGGACCAGCATTACAAACAATGTTGAAAATGATGATGGGTGGAGATATGAAATTCCCAAAAGATAAATATCCAGCAACCCCTCACTTACAAATCGACAAACAAAAATTTGGTACTCTTATTAAAAAATTACTAATTGACCATAGCTTTTTTGCTTTTGAAACGAAAGTTAATGGTTTCGAACAAAATTTAAAATTTAATAATATATTTGAATCATTTTTATTAGTCAATTACACAGAAAATATTAGAGAATTGGATTCAGAATTAGATCCAGAATTGGATTCAGATTCAAAATTGCACAAAGAATTGTTCCAAAAATTGATTGGTAAATATGAAATAGAATTAAAAGATATCGCATATTTATTTCTCGACAAGGCAGGCATTAGAATAGATAGTAATGATGAACAAAAAAAAGTCGAGCCAAAAACTAGGGTTGAAGTCGAGCCAAAAAATCATATAGATGCACGAAAGATTATGTTGAAATTAATGACCGGTGTAGATAGACCACATGAGACAGAAAGTGATTTTTATTTCAAAAATATGTCCAAAGAAGATTTTACACTTCTAATTAAAGCCTTAATAAATTCAGACCCTGATAAAAACCATTTCATGTCTAATGATATCAAATTTGATGAAGATGGTAAAGAGTTTAATGAAATAAATTTTTATCAAATATTTAATTCATTTTTATTAGTCAATTGCACCAAAAATATTAGAGATTTGGATTCAAAATTGTTCGAAGAATGGATTGGTATATTTAATGGTAAATATGAAAATCTTGCCAAATTAGTATTCACATTATATTTAAAAAAAAAATGACAGACATTGCATCAAAAAAAAAAAAATTTATTTTATTTGTATAATTTTAATAATAAATTACCGTTTTCCACTCCACTTTTTAAACAAATAATTATTATTTCACAAAAATTAACATTTAATATATTTTTTTTTTTTTTAATTGTAAATAATTTAAATTTATTATTTATATCACACTTTTAAATTTTTAAAAATTCTTAGTTTAATTACTATTTTTTATTGCCATCACTAAGGTTCCAACCCGCAGTGGTCGAATAAAAATTTTAATATTCGATTTTAAAAATAATAATAATAGTTACCTTTATTATCATTTTAATATCTATTTGGTTCATAAAATTTCTATGGGTATCTATTTGGAATAACTAATAAAACACTATATTTCCTTTTCTTTTTTAAAGCTTTTCTAATTTTTCTTTATTTTTCATTTTTTTCACAACTTTCTTTCTGTATCAAATTTATTTAATATATTCATCACCAAATTTTAAATTTTTTGTTGAACTTTGCGACTATTTCATCAGCTCCCGATGATCTCTTTGAAATTCCATTATTAATATCTTCTTTGAATTTCTTGTTGGACTCTACGTTGTTTTCATTAACTTACAATGATCTCTTTGAAATATAGTATCGAGGTTTAAAACTAGGATTGATCCTATATTTTCTAATGAAAATCCGGATCCTTTTTCCTAAAATTTTGGATCGAAAAAAATCCTTCATATAAATCGTGTATTTTTAATTATATAAATAAAAACCATTAGTACAATACTTTAATTGTATTTTTATTAAATAATATTTAAAATTTTTTTATTTTTTATTTTTTTATAAAAATGATGATTTTAGAGTGTTAACATCTTTAGTTAAAGCACAAGATTTACGAACATTTCAAATGAAAACTACTTTCCTTGGATGCCCATATGCCTCCACCAATTCAAAAAGGAATGCATTCACTCTATTTTGTAAAGATATTTCGATTACAATCTGTAACGTCGACCATCTCGAAAATGAAACAAGAAGAAAATATATTAGAAACTTTTTAGGTTTTCGAAATAATGATAAACAATCATTTAAAGTTCCAGAAGATCATCCACTCCAAATAAAGTGTAGAGGTTGCCCTGCTTCAATCGATGATTCATTAAAAATTCGTGGTCTTAAATTACCTAAAATAGATTCAAATTTCTTTTATTTTTGTTCAATTGAATGCTTTTATACGGTTTGTTCGATAGCTAAGGGTGGTGATTTTGCTGAATTAATAAATCCCAAAAAGAAAAAAGGTGATAGCGATGAAGAGGTTGAGGATGAAATAGAAAAAGATAATAAAGAATCCAAAAAAAAAAAAAATAAAGAAATAAATGCAATTGTTACCAGACCAAAACGTAAATAAAAAAAGATAAATATTATAAAATTTTATAAAGTGTTAGTCTAATTATTTTATTGTTTTTTTAAAGTGGATTTTATGAATAGTCATGGCGATTATGAAAAAATGATTGGTATTAGTTTTAATAGTTTTAATGATCTATATAATAAAATAAACGAAAAAATAATTTCAGTTAATAAAGGAAGAAATAAACTATACGATCTAAAAGAAAGGGTATTCATATGTTTATTTTTTTAAGACATTATACCAGACCTATTGTTATTAAAATGTTATTTGGTATAAGTGATAATACTTTAGAAAGATACTTCCAAGAATTTTTAGACATTGTTTCACCTTTGGCAATAGATAATTTTAACAGTTATTTTAAAAATAGATTTGATAATAGCAATAAAGTAGAATTCATGTACCATTCAAAGCATATGATTGCAACAATGGTCGTTGATGGTTCCTAACAACAAATTAGTATACCAAGTGATAAATATATTAGAAATTCATTATATAGTGGTAAAAAATGTAAATCAACTTTAACTCTATTGGTTTATTGTTGCCCTAAGAGTGGAAAGGTATTGCACATTGGTTTTCCTTCAGGTGGTTGTAAAAATGATATTAACTTATTTAAGAAAGATCATATATTTATTGATTCATTAAAGAGTGCGTTTGATACAATTTTTGCTGATAAAGGATTTCGTGGATTAAAACCATTTTATAATAACATGTGTGTTATTGAAGCAGGTCGTAAAAATACAGAATATAACAAACAACAAGAAAAAATCCAAAAATCAATCAGGATTATTATCGAAAATGTATTTGCTAGAATTAAAAGATTTTCAATTACAAGCAATACTTTAAGATATAAATTTAAACAAGGAACTTTTCATATTGAACATGTTTTTAAAAGACATCATATGGTATGGTGTACAGTTGCATTTTTAATTAATTGTTATTCAGAAATTAGAAATAATAACATCGAGGACAATGAATTATTAATTTAATAGTTAAAAAAAAAAAAAAATACATACAAAATAAAAATTAAAAAATTTTAAAAAACCCAAAAAACAACCAAATTGCGAAAAAATTTATATGTAAAAAAAAAAAAAAAAATTTTCAGTTTTTTTTGAGTTTTTTTTTTTTTTTTTTTTTTTTTTTTTTTTAGTTTTTTTTTGCATTTTGGAGGAATTCATAATAATAAAAAAATCATTTTTTTTTTTAATAAAAATGATGATTTTTTAAAATTTATTTTTATAAAAATATAAAAAATAAAAAAATTTTAAATATTATTTAATAAAAATAAATTGATTCAGGAGTATTGTTAAACATTATTGTTGCTATTTGTTCAAATATATTGACACAATGATCATCCGAAGAGAAATAATATATTTAAAAATAAAAAAAAAATAAAAAAATCATCTAAAATTTTTTTTAAAAAATTAAAAAAAAAAAAAAGGATTCATCCCGTTCTTTAAACATTTTAAGGGTTAATTACTCTGCTTCTTCCAGTAAAATAAAATAAAAAATTTATAAATAATTTTAAAAAAAAAAATTTATAGCTTTTTTATCTCTGATATTTAATAATTCTTTTAAAAAACCAAATCATACTTAATTATTTACTTTTTTTAATCTCCTTAAAAAGCTTTAAAAAAAACCCAGCCTGGTTATTAGTATGTGTAACTGGGTAATTTTAGTGTGTCTTTTCATAAAAAAAAAAAAAAAAAAAGATATTTTTTTTCTAAAATAAAAATTTTTATTTTTTTTTTAAATTTTATTTTTTTAAAAAAAATATAAATAATTGGCTGATAAATAGTGGTATCAAAATAAATAAATTAATTAAATAAAAATAAAAATAAAAATAAAAATATAATACAAATAATACAAATTATACAAAAAAAAATAAAAAAAACAATAAAATAAAATAAAATGGTTTTTGTAAATGAAGAATTCCCAATTTTAAAAGATTTAACAAACGAAGAAATAAATGCTTTAAACCAATTAAAAAAAAATGGAATTTGTAAAGGTAAATGTTTATAATAAAAAATAATAAAAAATTAATATAAATTTATTTATAAGTATAATTTTTTTTTTAAATATTTTTTTAGATATTGAGGACCAATACCTTCTAATGTTTTTATTTTCGAAAAAACTTGATATAGAAAATACTCTAATATTAATTAAAAACAATCTATTGTTAAGAGAAAAATTAAACTTACCATTACCTGTGGTCAAGGAACATGTTAACCAAGTGATTGCAAAGAAAGCTAGTGCTTTTAGTATTAGTGGTAAAACTGATAAGCAAGGTAGAGTTATATCTTATTTACACCCATCGAAAATAATACCAAAGGAATACCCATTCAAAGAATACATGACACTGTTGTTTTGGAACATGGACCAAACTGTACACGAACATTCATCTATACATCGTTCGGGTATTTGTATCATTGAAGACCTTCATAAGATGTCCATATTAAAACACTTTGACAGCAGATTAAATGACTTTTTAAAGAAAAACAAGGTTAATGATATGCAAAATGTATTTATTGGTAGAATTCAAAAAATATATATTATCAATCCACCTTTTCTTCTTAGACCACTTTTGGCTCTAGGTAAAACTTTTGTAAAAAGCAAAATTATATCAAGAATTGAAATTGTAAAAACCGAACAAATACTTAACGATATTGACCCATCCCAGGTTCTAACCGAATACGGCGGCTCTTTAAGTATATCATATTCAGACTACTTTGACTCTTTACCAGCAAACTATTAAAATTATTATTTAAAAAAAAAAGTAACCGTCTATTGATTTTCTATTATAATAAACTATATTGGTTTATAGTAAAAAATCTAATCAAAACCAATAAATTCACCTTATTTTTTTTAATTTTTCAGGAAAAATTTAACTTATTCCAAAATTTATCATAAATAACCCAAAAAAACATTTTTTTAACTTAATTTTTTTATTTATTTTCTGTGGGCAAAATATTTAGTTATTTCAATTTTATAAAAAAAAAAATAAAAATTAATTCCATTTGCCAAGCATTAATTTTTTTTAATTTTTAAAGAAATTTTTTTTTTCTTAACTTTTTTTTGAAAAAAAAGTTTAAAAACACATTTAAAATGCTTAAAAAAAAAAAATTTTATTTGATCAACGCACAAAACCATCACAGCTTTACACCCCCATTATTTTTATAAAATATTTTTTTTTTTTTAAAATATTTTTTTTTACATTTTTTCAAAAAAAATATCTTTATAAATGGAGTTTTTTTTTTTTTTTTTTTCATTGATATAAATTATTTTATAAGATTAAAAAATAATGAAAATATATAATAGTATTTTTATATTATTTATATTAATAAATATTATACACAATGTTTATTCAGAATCACTTTTATGGGTCGATACAACCAATACCAGATCATTCATGGATCCATTAGGTTGGACACCACAGCAACAACCCTCAGCCTCTGACTATACAACAATCAATAACAATGCTCAAGTTTTTGAAAAAGATAATAACATTAATGTAGCCTCTATTTTGCTTGAAGGTTCATCATCACTCAGTTTAGAAAACGGGGAAACTGCAGCCAAAAATATCAACCTCAAATCAACATCATCTATTCAATTTTCAAAAATGTTCACAGATACATTTGATTTCTATGGTAGTTCTAAAATGATAATAGAAGAAGGAGCAATTTTAGCAAATAATTCTGATCACAAAATTTTAAATGTAGGGTTTTATGATAACAGTCAGTTTTATTCCAATTGCGTTAGTTGTGGCATTTTATATTTCGGTACAAATTTCATATTTAATAACGAATCTTCCTTAAATTTAGCGGGCACAGTATTGGGCCCTCTCTCAGATTCAGTCTATATATTTAATGTAAGTTTTTTAATAAAAAAAAAAAAATAAAAAAAAAGATAAAAATAAAAAATTAATTCTTAATCATACTATATAGCATCAATCTAAATCAAAATTATCCAAAATCCAAATATCTCCAACATATGCAAGTACAGAATTTATTTTTAAAGACAATTCAAGCGGTTCGGTTTCAGGTGTTAGTCTTTCTGATATATTCTATTTAAAAAAACTAACTTTATATGGCAATTCAAATTATTCAGTTACAGAAAATGAAGGTATTTTTTTTTATAATATAGAAGTATTTGATAACTCTATTTTTTTGGTTAATAGCTCTTTCTTTGGTGTTAGATACGGAATTTTAATGCACGATCAAACAAAAATGTATGTAGATAATAATGCTTGGTTTTTATCATATACTGGTTATATATCACGTGTAAGAGATCTAGAAATTTCAAACTCTGGTTATATAGGAAATAGTGGTGATTTTTATTCAGTAAGTAATATTTTAATTTTTTAAATTTACTTTATTTTAATAATAAATTTAAAATTTTTATTATTTTATTTTTAGGAGGGTAATTTTTTAAATATTAATAGCTTTGGTATCATAGAAAGTATCCCAGGTAATCTTCATTTAAATGCCACACTCACAACACTAAATAGTGGCACTGCAAGATCATTAAATGGAAGTATCCATATATATAAAAAAGTAGTAGGCAAACTTGCCTATTTCCACATCAATGGCGGTAATTTATTTATTCATCCACAATCAAATACAAGTTTAACAGACTCCCATATTTATATTAGAGAAGGCGGTAGAGCATATGTTTCTCAAGATGCAACATTAATTTTAGAACGTACAACTTTCAATAATGAAGGTGGTACAATTACAACAAACGGTTCGATTATTGTTACTCCAAGCAGCTCAATTTTGAATGAAAAAGATTTTTTTATTCAATCAAGTATCATATCAACAAATAAAAATTCAGATATACCTTTAGACAATAAAGGTTCAATTAATTTAAATGCAGTTAACAACAACATTCAAAACAGCAATCTTAACAATAACATTTACGACGATAGCAGTGCAAGCGGTAGTAGCAGTAATAACAAAAAGGATATCCGTTTGGAAGTCAATATAAAGAATACAGGTTCAATTAAAGTAGATAAAAACCATAATGTTTATATTAAAAACTATCAGCAATCGGGTGGAAATTCATCATTTGTTTTCGATAACTCAAATATTAATAGTAATGAAACAATTAAATTCGATAATGGTACAATTCATGGCAATGGTACATTTGGTAACTCATTAGACCAAAATTCAGGCCAATTAGGTTCAAGAAATGAAACTATCTCTATCGACATTAACGGAAACTATACTTTAAATACAACTGGTTCAATTTTAATCAAAATCGAATCTGAACAAGATTACTCTAAAAGTAAATATCTATTTTTATTTTAAAATTTAAATTTGTAATTCATTTTCACAAACTAATATTTATTTTTTTAAAAAAAGTCAATATTTTAAATGATGCTGATATTAAAGGTAACATCGAAATTAAAGTTTCTAAACATTTAATCAACCAAGAAAACAAAGAATTAAACATTATAAAATATTCAAATTTAAATAGCAACGGATTTAACTCTGTTAAATTTAAAACATATGATCCAGCTTCTGGTGATGAAGAAGATCAAGAAGAGAACAACTGTTTAAAGAGCAGTACAACAAAATCATCATTCTCAGTATTGGTTGGTTGTGGTAAAAAATCATTATCTGGAGGTGCCATTGCTGGTATTGTTATTGGGTGTGCAGTTGGTGTTATTGCAGTTGTTTCAATTATTCATTACCGTTCCAGAATAGCTTTAAAACTTAGACATTCCTCAATTGCTATGAAACTAACAACAATGAAAGCAAATAAATAAAAAATAACTACAATAAAAATAATAACAAAATCTATTTATAAATGGAAATGTTTATTTTTTAATCTTTTCAAATAAAATTACTTTTTTCTATTGGTTTTTATAATAAATAAAAATAAAAAAAAAAAAAAATATTTAAACCAATAACCAAACTTTTATTTAATTGTTGTTCTGCTGTTAATTTTATTTTTTAAAAAAAAAAAAGAAATATGGAAAAATCAAATTTAGATTTTCTTTTACATTGATGCACTACCCAAAATCATCATTCTCAACATTAGTGTGTGGTTGTGGTAAATAATCATTATCTGTGGGGAGCTAATGCTGGTATTATTATTGGGTGTGCGATTGCTGTGAAATTTTTGGCACTGGTTAATAATAATAATTATAGGAATTAAAAATAATAATATTATTTAATCAATTCTAATAAAAAACAATTTGTTTTTTTTTTTAATATAAATAAAATAAAATTGTTTATTCAGCACTGAACAAAAAACAATTTTTTTTCGAAGGGTGTTGCCACCTTATAAAAACCAAAAAAAAATTTTACAATAATGAATTCAAATATTATTTTTTTTTTTTACAATATTATTTTAAAAACTGCAAAAAGATATTTTAAAATAATTGTGAAAAAAAAATAAGAGAAAATATTTTTATTTTTTTTAATTTTTTTTTTTGTTTTTAGTTTTCTTTTTTTTTCTTTTTTTTTTTAATTTTTTTTTTTGTTTTTTTCGAACAATATTATTTACAATTTTCATACTTTCTATGACATGTTTTGATTAATTTTTTAAATTAAAACAAAATACCATATATGTGTGTGTTTTTTTAATCAGCACTTCACCCATTACTATGTCTTCACCTCATTTACTAAAAATAAAAAAATAAAAAATCACATAGTTTTTTCCATCAAAATCTCTAAAAAAAAAACAAAAAAAAAAAACAAAAATTTTTTTGGTCTTAATTTCTTTCGAACTATCCAAAAACACTTCGTATAATCACTCAATTTTTATAAAATTAGTAATAATGTCTAAAATTCTTAAAATACTTATACAAATTATTTTTATTTTTTTAATAAATCAAAATGACAGTTTCATACTGTTTAAAAATAAAAATAATAGAAATAATAATAATTTAAATAATATAAATAATATAAATAATGGTATTTTATTTGTCGAATCTGTCATAGTAAAATGGAATAATAATACCAATTTTGGTTTAGATTTTACAGACCCATTTGGATGGTTAGATAACATGGTTCCAACCGAGGATGATGATGCCATTATCGACATAGAGGATATATATGTCGTCAGTATAGTTAATAGGGTTAATGTAAATTCACTGCAATTGGGGAGCAAGGTATTGTTTGGATCCAAAGAGGCATTTTCAGCAAAAAACTTTATAAACATTAACCAAAACTCTAGAATGGTTGCAGCACATACTTCAGCACCTTTCATCAATAACTATGGTCAATATTATGGTACCCAAAAAAATTCGCAGATAAAAAATTCAGTTTTCAACAGTTATAATAGATCTGAAATTATGTTTACCAACCAAACTGACCATAGTGTTCCATTTACCAACACAACTGCCAATATATATCATAACTCTAAAATTGATATTTCATTATCAACTATCACCCTATCGACAGACTCTACCTTTAATTTATTTGTAAGTTCTATTTTAAATAAAATCTAACTCTGTTCCTATACTAATATTTATATTTTATTTAATAATTATTGTTTGAAAATAGGATAAATCAATATGTATATTTAATAGAACCAATTCAAATTTTTGCAACACAAATTTATATGATGATGCACATTTTTATGCATATGAAGGCGAATATAAAGTTTTATCAAACACCCTATTTAAAATGAACGATAAATCAAATTTTTTAATTGAGAGATCCAAATTTTTAATTGAAGGTAGTTTAATTGGCACAAAATCAGCAATTGACTTTGAAGCATATCAGTCATTGATTATAATACAAGACGGCGGTAATTTTATTATAAATATGAAGGTGCAATGCAGAGACTCAAAAGTATCAATAAAGAATAGTAGCAGTCTAGAGATATCTTCCAATGGTGGCGAAATGGTGCTTAGAAATACATTCTTAAATAACAAGTTTGGTAGTGTTTTACAAAAAGGTAACATTTATTTAAACTCTGGAAGCTCCATTATAAATTATATAAATTCAACATTTAATATTTTTTCAAATATTTATTCATCTGGCGATAAAAATACAAATTTTACAAATAATGGTTCAGTTTTTATATCAAATTCTGATCCTATTAAAGTTGAAGTAAGTAAACATTTATTTCTATAAAAAAAAAAGTTTTTTAAAATTTTTTTTTAAATATAAATATTTTATAATATTCAAATACTAATTTTTAAAATAGTCTCCATTTATAAATTTTGGTAAATTAAAAACTGATTTCAAACAAACTCTATATCTTACAAGTTATAATCAACAGAATGGTTCAACATTTAATCTTCAAGATGAATCAGTTTTAGTTAGTAACCAACCTTTACAAATGGATGGTGGAATGCTTTATGGAAATGCTACATTTAATACATCAATAATGCATAGTTTTGGCATGCTGGGGTCTTTTAATGATACTTGCTATATATATATTAATGGAGATTATACCATGAGTCAATATGGGGTTATTTATATTTTAATAAACTCTCTTGAAGATTTTACTCAAAGTAAGTATTGTTATATAAATCTTTTTTATTTTCTAGACTTGTAGGAAAATATATTAGTCAAAGAAATTATTTTAATGGTCTTGGTTTTTAAAGAAACTAAAATAATAATTGGTTACTAATATTTTAAATTTTAAATTTTATAATTTAGTTTTTATTAGAGATACCGCAATTTTAAAGGGGGATCTCGAAGTAAAGATTTCAAATAAAATCTCATCAAAAAATTTAAAACAATTAAATGTTGTAAATTTTGGAGACCTAGATAAATATTCTAATGCTTTTAAAAGGGTTAGGTTTAGGACGTTTGACCCAGAGACTGGTTTAGAAATGGAAGGCAATAATTGCGCCCAAAGTATCTCAACCGATAGATCATTATCAGTTTTATTTAGAGATTGTGAATCTCCTCTTTCCAACAGTGCAATCATTGGTTTTTGTATTGGCTTGGTTGGTACAGCTGTAATTGTAGGGGCAGTTTATAAATATCGAAAGAAAATAACATCTACTTTTAATAATAATAGGGTAATTTTAAAAATTAAAAAACGAAAAACTAGTGATGATGAAGAGTTTAATAACAATAATAATAATAATAATAATGGTGAGAGTAATAATATGGTTAGCTTGGATATATTAGGCGATAATAATAATTATAATAACGAGAATAATATAAGTGTTATTAGTGGTGATGATAATAATAATAATAATAATAATAATATGGGTGTCGATTTAATTAATAACGATAATAATAATAACTCCCAAGAAATAACGCAACCACCTCCTTTATCGCCATCTCCGCAGTAATAGAACAATAATTTAATGATTATAATAATATAAATAAGAGAATTTAATACCAATAATAATGATAATAAATAAAACTCCAATACTAGCCACCTCGCATCTATAATCATTATGTATCACATGCTAAATTACTCAATCACAACAACAAAGTTTACCCATATTGGTAACTGCGTTTTAAACACCAACATGATGTAATAATACAAATACAAATACACACTCCTTGCCCAATATATTTATTTATCTTCTTTTAATAGATTTATTTTTTTATTATAATTGAAAAATATCTTAATAATATAATAGTTATTAAATAAAAGTTTTAATTATAGTAATAATATATAATATATATTATTATTTATTTATTTATATAATTTAGTTATTAAATTTCTTTTTCGGGATTTTTTATTTTCGTTTTTTTTATTTCCATTTGTTTAAAGGTATCGTTCAAGAATTGTTTTAAAACGAACCTGTACCGTTATTGAATATTTGTTTATTAATGTTTAGAATTAAAATAATAATAAAAAAATTTCACGATTTGTCATCACCATTATACAATCATTAGTTTTTTATTACTCTGATTTTATATTTTAAAAACCGTTTTTCTAATAAGCTGTACTATTAAAGGCAATAGATTTATTTGTACATACATAAAATTACCATTATTTTTAATATTACTAATTTTTTATAAGAGTTATATAGTTATTAAAATAAATTATATTTTTTTATAATTATTTGTGTTTGTATTTGTTTGTGTTTATCAAGTTTTTTTTTTTTTTCTATTTATATTTTTTTTTATTATTTCTTTGGGTTTTAAAAAAAAAAAAAAACCCTTCAAAATTTGATTAACACACATTTTTTATTTTTTAAAAACTACTCCTTAAAAAAACCCCCACACATTCCCCATTAATTTTTACTTTTTTAAAAAAACACACATTATTGGTTAATCAAATATAAAAATATTAAATATCCAAAAAAAAAATAATAGTCACCACACACCCCACAAATATTAAATATCTTTGCACACACAAAATTTTTATTTATTTTTTTATTTATTTTTTTATTTTTTTATTTTTTTTTATATACATTTATTTTGTATGCAATAAAAAAAATGTTTGTATACGCCAAAAAGGAATGGTGAGAAATTATATATGCGATTTTTCATTATGATATTAATTAAGATTTGAATCAATTTTAAAAGAAAATAAATATTATATTTTTTGAATTATTTAATTTTTATTATTCATTTTTTTACTATAGTATTTTTTCTTTTTTCCTGAAAAGTAAATTTTGACCATAAAAGGACCTTGATCTTCAAAAATAAAAAAGATTTTTTTTATTTTTTAAAATTAAAAAAAATAAAATAAATTAAAATTTAAAAAAAAAGGAAATTAAAAAAATCTTTTTATCAAAATCAATGTTTTGACCTCATCTCCATATCTTTATCAATATTATTATAATAATATTTAAAAAAAATATATTTATTATTTTTAAATTTATTTTTAATTCTAAATTTGTTTTTTTATTTTTTTATTTTTTCC